ACCATTTGTTACGTTTAGTTGTACGCATGCTCATTTCAAAGTCGATGAGGCATTTATACTTGTATCATTTTAGAGATGCTTGTGCCTTCATTTCCTTTAAAAAGAGAGGTCGTCTCTATAGTCCAACGGCTCATTGGTCTTTACGTCTCATTGGTCCGACGTTCCATTGGTCCGACGGCTCTTTGGTATATACGTTTCATTGGTCCGACGTCCCAGTAAGGGTTAGGGTTAGGGTCAGTTAACCAAAACCAGTGGAACTACACAGTATTACGTTTCATGGGACCAATGGGACGTCGGACAAATGAGACGTGGGACTATAGAGATGTAACCGGGCCGAAGAAGGGCAATGACCCTTGTTGGATTCACCACTGTTTACACTGGTAACGCTGTTTTGTATTTCTATTTCGAAGTCGCCCCGTGTACAAGTGGGCCGTTGGGAATGGAGAGTGGAGCGATCCCTGATGACAGCATCACGGCTTCGTCCTTCTACCACGAGGACTATCGTCCATCCAAAGCTCGGCTCAACGTCGGTAAGGAGACTTGCTTCAGATCGTATAGGCCGGCATGAGTAAGCCACCCAGCCGCTTGTCAGATATATAATGACTATATTTCCCATTGAACAGAAACGCAATCCTTATACAAAATGTAGTTACCCTTTCCATACCGAGTCTTTGTTCAAGGAATCAGTGGTCGACAATCGTCTGAAAGCTACGTGGTAACAAGTGCAAAGTCGCAAATCATGATGAGTTTAATTGTACCAACACTTTATTTAAGGACGTCTGGGGTGTGAGCTGGAAAAAAATCTGAAATAGGTATTTTGTTTCCCAAAACAGAAAAGGTCGGTTGGATACCACGCAAAAAGGCAGGACAGTGGATTCAGGTGGATCTGAGCGAGTACACGGCAATCACAGGTGTTATCGTACAGGGGTATCGCACTATGCAACACGTGAAAAGCTTTAGCGTGAAGTACAGCGATACCGCGATGAAAGGAGAATGGAAGAGTTTGGTCGATGAAGAGGGACAGGTCCTTGAGGTCAGTATTTTGTCAAAACTTCTTATTGACAGTAACACAGTGAACCTGACAAACTTTGGGGTGCACGCCAGTAAAAAGCCATTGCATTCCTATTTTTTTTCTCTAAATGTAGAAAAACTTCATTTAGGTTGATCATTTTGAGATATCCACTTGTACTTGTTCATTTATCCCAATACGTGTGTATTCGAATAAAAAAAATTGTAGCCGCGCAATTTGCAATTATTCAATTATAATATTCATAGATGAAAAGAAGCTATTAAGGTTTAATTATTAACCCATCGCTGTAGAATCGCGTCAACGCAGCTTGTGAAATATTGTCCAATCATAGGCGTAGCCAGCGGGGGGGGGGGGGGGGGGGGGGGGGTATTTAACCCCCTCCCAATATTTTTTAAAGACTGCCTTTTTCCATTGAAATGGTCTTTTTTTCAACATGCTTACCCCCCGATGATTTGTATAAGAGTGCCCTTTTTTACGGAATGCCCTTTTTTCTGAACACGTGCCCTTTCAAAAAAAGAAGTGGTGTCCTTTTTTGGTGGCATCTGCCGTTTTGGGTGCCTTTTTCAGAATTTCGCACATAAATCGCCATGAAAAGCACCATATATTGGCCCTTTGTGCGCATAGTCGGCAGTTTTGAACAGCGGTTTTTTTACTTTAAGACTGAAAAGGTTTGAACATTTGACTGAAAAGGTGTGGTCTTAAAAGGAGTGTTTAAAACCAGCCAAGCACACGTTAATTCGCTTTATTTATGGCAATGTCCCCTGGGACAGAATATCCAAACGGAAGTTAAATCAGGTTCTAAATAATAAGGAACGAAACGAAAAACGGTAAATTGAATTTCAGTAGAATCAGCAGAGCCTCGTGCGATTGCCGATTTGAGTTTGCGCCATTAGCTGTTGTGATTGAGATTAGTCCGCGTCATGAAATGCAACTCACAGTACCACTTATATGGACTTTTCACTTGTGAAATTAAGAAAACAGCTTCTATGAATTTCACTCCAAAGCTGGCAGGGAACACCGGGTCTGGACAACCTGTGACGGTTACCTTCCCCAGTGTCATTGTAGCAAGATACATTCGTCTACTTCCGCTCACCTGGAGTAGGTCTGCGCCTTATGCTCTGAGATTGGAGGTGCTCGGCTGTCGAGGTGAGTGAATGAAATACAGCAATGAGGGTGAGGGGGCGGTGCGCAAGGCACCGGAGGACCAAAACGCGGTGCAGGTTGGTCGTTGCAAATTTGAAAATGAGGGGGGGGGGAGAGCTGGAGGGGGGGACCTTATTTGACGCTTTGGGCGCTCTTTACTCCTGTTTGTTTTTTCTTCTGTTAATGTTGTCTTAGCCTTTCACAGTGGGGAGTGTGGTCTAGTGGTTAGGATTCGTAACTCATGATCAGAGGGCCAGAGGATCAGAGGTTCGGATCCAGCTGGTCATGTTGTTTCCTTGTGAGCTGGCCAATTTACCTCCACTTGCCTCTCAGTCTCCAACCTGGAGTATAAATGGGTACCGGCATAAGCTGGGGAGTGATCTACGACGGACTGACATCCCATCCAGGGCAGGAATAGAAATATTCTCAGTCGTTTCATGCTACTGAAACCGGAGATAAACACCGGTCTGATGGGCCACATTGGCTCGTTTTGCTTTTGTACTTCAGAAAAGGGGATGAGTACACAACATCATCGATTAAACAAAATTTGTTTTCACATACTTGTGATGTTGTTTGATTATTTAAACCAACAATTAACACATTTTGGGGTGTTGGAAAGAAAGTATTTTCTCCAACATATTGGTCCAAAGTGGGGGGGGCAAAATCGCTACAGTTTCCATGATCCAAGGTGGGGGGCAATCTGCCCCTCGGTTCCTCGGCCTCCAAGATCATTGCTCATCCGAGAAGATATCCGCCAACACTGGCTGTCTATCGGAACGTATAAAAGGAAGAATGAACCCTGGTAACCGGCTTGCTAAAGGTCCAAACAGAATTCTTTCCGTAGGGGTTTCTATAGGAGAACGAATTCATGAAAAGTGTCTTTGCTTTGACTACAGGCGTTGGTTAAAAGTCTTCGACTAATTAAAAAGAATCACTTAAATCACAAACGCAGATGCCATCGTTCGCTTAGTCGACGGTGATGTGGACTGGAGTGGACGGGTAGAGATCTACCGCAACGGTTCTTGGGGTGTGGTGTGTGACCAAGACTGGGACCTGCTGGACGCTACAACGGTGTGCCGTCAGCTGGGCTTCAAGCTAGGCGCACGTGAGGCTAAGACTGGATCGTTCTTCGGCAAGAGTGGCTCGCTACCCGCAATGATGGCCCGAGTGTCGTGCAAAGGGACCGAGAGTCGTTTGGCTGACTGCCCGTTTGTCTGCAAAACTCCTGACAAATGTGGCAGAACCCGAGAAGCTGGGGTGATCTGTAGACCAAGTAAGTACTGAAACCTCTTTCTTAAAAAAAAAAATGTTTCATTAATAACTCTCCTAGGTATGACGGTAAACCTTCACTTCCAGATAACTCTAGCCTACTCAGAATCAGTGAAGCTGCAATACGCTGCAAAAATATGTATAATAGGAAAGTTTCGCCAATTTCAGGTTCAGCACAGTTACTGTGTGATACATGACTTGTATATAATTCAAACCTACACTATTCGATAAGATAAAGGGAGGCAGTGGCGTAGCCACCAGGGGGCGTGGGGGGGGGGCGACCGCCCCCCCCCATGAAACCTCGTCGCCCCCCAGTCGCCCCCCCCCCCCCCACTGAGATTTTGAGTTTCTAAAAAAATTATCATTGATCTACATTATGTACTACAATGTATCTTTTGCTTAGAAAATATTGGTTAAAGTGGTCAGAAATTGCCTCAGATAGCACCACAGAGCATTTAGAATCCAAAATTTTTCGGGGCCCTTAAGCGGGCCCCGAACCCCACGCCTATAGCTCAGAATTCTGGTAGCTGATTCAATGACTCCAACCTCGAAAACAATGTTCACAAAATTTTCTTATGCCTTTAGCTGAGAAAACCTCGAAAATTATGTTTAAATTATTATCTTTTGTACTAAGATAATTATTTTTTAAAGTGGTAAGAAATTGCCTCAGATCACACCACAGAGCATCGAAAATCCAAATTTCGGGGCCCTTAAGCGGGCCCCGAACCCCACGCCAATAGCTCAGAAAACCGATAGCTAATTCAATGTCTCCAACCTCGAAAACGATGTTCAAATAATTATCTTTTGCCAAGAAAATATTATTTAAAGCATGGAGGAAAGTCGTAAGAAATTGCTTCAAATCACACCACAGAACATCTAGAATCCAAGCATTTTGGACCATGCAGCCAAAATAATCTTAGGAGGAGGCTATGTAATTTATGGCTCAGTTGAAATTCCAAAGGTTTCCAGAAACTGTCATTGGTACCAAAGCCAAGCTCTGAGGGAAGGGGGTGGTGGCCACATAAAACCGGTTAAACCCACCAAAGCCTGGTCCGTGTCCGCAGCCCAGGGACATAAGGAGCTTGTTCGTCAAGCACATCAAATGTAGTGACATCCCAGTGGCCTTCCAAGGAACTCACACCAAGAGTGTACATCCTAAGACGGGTGGTTGATCTCTGAAGGTTAACGATGCTGGTGTTAGTCACCAATTATCTACTTCCAGGTCTGGCGATTTGTTGGGCGGGGGGTTGATTTTTTTTTAATAAAAAAAAAACAGATTTATTTGATTTAAATCAGATTTTTTTATTTAAATCAGATTTTTAAGATTTTTTTTAACTTTCAAAATATTGCCACGTCTAACAATGTGTCTAAATCATCCACAAAACTCAATAAATTGATATATCTGCTTTTCAAAAAAAAGGTATTTATTCAGTGACTACAAAAAAATCACTTGATTTCTTCTACATTAAGTCTACATCATTGGTTCAATGGTACATTAACACTGACGACACTTTAAAGGTGCATTGCTTGATTGATACAGCTGTCGATGTACGTTGTGTGTGGATGATATGAATGGAAAACTTGATTTATGGTACGCGTACATAGTACAAACAAATACGTGCACAGTTCTCCATGGCGTGTTGATTTCATAAAAATGCTTCTAATTTCAAAACCTGCGGCACTGATCCTTGTGAAACTTATGTTTTTTGATTGATGGTCCTCCATACAAGGTAGAGAACAGAAATCAGGCCTTGCACCTTTAAAAGGTATTATATTATAATCTATTTTTTATGGAGAAACGTTAGGAATAAGACTATCAATTGGGACTTTAATACACCTTTAGATGGTTCAGGTAAGCCTACACCAGCACGGTTGATTCACAGTATTACTGTAAACAGATCATGGAATGATCAAAGCAAAAGTGAGTGTGCTGTCTTTAAAATTCAAAACTTTGAGAAACTCTTCAAATCAGATCTTGACTTAAATCAAAACAATGATTTGGGGTAATCTTTCAAAACCTACCTGTAACTTAAGTTGAGTTGATGCTGATGAAGTAGGGGTGTTTAAATGTGTTATCAACATCTTACAATTTTTAATGAAGTGGAATCAGTTGATTTTAATTATTAAATGACCCTCAATCCAATTATTTTGCCCAAAAAAAGGGGTTTTAAAATAAAAAATGATTTAAATCAGCGATTTAGAAGAACAATCATTTGATTTAAATCGTGATTGAAATCAGTGATTTCAATCAATGTGATTTAAATCAGCAAACCCTGTCTTCTTCTTCTTCTTTCTCCTGTGTATTGTACCCAAGATGCACTAATTACCTCCGCCATGGCGGTTATGTTTTCATTGGCGTTGGTTGGTTTGTCTTTGAACAAGATAACTCAAAATGTTATGAACGGATTTTCATGAAAAACATTTTGGGGGTTGTCCTTCGTGAGAGTACAAGTTGATTAGATTTTGGAAGTGATCCGGATCGGCGTCTGGATGCAGGATTGTTCTCAGGATTTTTCACCCATCATATGGAAAATGTTTACACTGTGCGACAAGCTTCGTGTGCGTGGCATTGACCCGGTGACCCTGTATGCCTTATCACCCACCTAATCTAACCACACATGCAATTGACTAGACTATTTAATACAATGGGGAGTGGAAAGGTAGACCAACACATACGCATATACAAACATGTAAACTACAAAATGTTGGAGTTTAAGGATTTGTTTTAGAAACCCCTCTGTGGGTTGGTGCTGTGTGTATTAGCGGGAAATTGTTAAGCCTTGGCGGAGGTGTGCGCTCTCTGAGTGCTTTCTAGTTTATCAAGTTTGTTTCAGTTGCATGTTTAAGTCGCTGTGTTTGTTAAGGTATCTTTCATTTTCAAATTCAACAGATACGATACGGTTGGTCGGCGGTTCGAATGCAACCAATGGCCGGGTTGAGGTCCGCCGTAGTGACATCTGGGGAACTGTCTGCGATAACGACTGGGACCTGACCGACGCCTCCATTGTTTGCCGTCAGCTCGGCTTCTCCGAGGCAGTCGAGGCCAAAGCAGGTGCCTACTTCGGTCCAGGTCGTGGTCCCGTGCACTTGGATGGTTTGGCTTGCGATGGCTCTGAGAGCGACATCAGCGATTGCCCCTCTCTCTGTTGGGAGGAGACTCAGTGTAACCACACCCGTGATGCTGGAGTGATTTGTCGCAGTAATTGATTTATTGCTTATCATTTATCATGTGACATTTTGGTTACCTTATTCGCGATTTCGGTTTTCTATTGTTTATTCTATTTTCATCATGGGGCCAATTGGATTCATTTTTTCTGCAGTCAACGAATGGAGTAGTTAATTATAAAGGGAAAATATTTAATTCTCACTGCAGCTAAGGTTTAAGTCTATGGAATTTGTACTTCTGACTGTGTTTCTCTTTGAATATGTCTCTTGCTTTGATACGACCAACCAACATCATACAAATTATGTTCACCGCCGTAGCAATGATGCGGTTTGATTTATATCTCCTATGCAGGGATAACTGATCAGGGTTTGGCAACATTTTCAATAAAACATAAAACGTCGAATTGTGTACTTGTTTAGTTCCACACAACAGCATGTCAAATACACGTAGAGGCTGATTGAAAATGTTTACATTTTATTGAGTACAATAATAAACCAAAAAACAGAGGCGAGTTTCAACAGTATTTCTATGACAAATATTGTGTCCACGTATAGTGCAAAAAAATAGGGAAAGGCTTCAAAATATAAACTGACAATTCGTAAACTTTATCTTTAAAGATGACTTTTCCTTAATATTTAGGGAATATTTTTTTCTCCTGACGAATTTTCAATTGTAAGCTTTATTTTTTAACCAAAAAATACTGTTTTTCAATCTGGGGCGTTTGAAACCCTCTGAAAATGAGCTTTTATTTTGCGTTTCTGTTGCGCCTGTGATGGATGGATAGCTTATATATAATTATAATATTCATATGTGACGTATCTCATAATAGCGTATCGCTGTGTGATTGATGGGCGAAGCGATGACGTAACTTTTCAACAGAACATGACATGATGAGCACAGATCGAGCGAGTATGGTAAAAGATTGGATTGTGTAGTTATGGGCCCCGTTCCTAGTCACAGGACTCACCCAGTTACTGAGCTCACCCAGTTTGGTCACAGGATCAATCGTGGAAGGGAAATTTGGGAGTAAAACGACGATGAAGACGATAAATGTCAAGATCGAAATCGGCGCAATGCAACGTGTATTAGCAAAACCACGTTTCTTTGCATGGCATTGACTGATAAATTCGCAATGAAATGACATTTTCGACTAACATATAATACTGTTCAAATTTGCGCAAATATGATCATTAAGGTCGTCGAAGTCAATGAAATGATAAAAACGATCTAAGGACTGAATTGCAAATGAGGCCTATAACTAAACAGTCGCAGTGAAGTTTAACTTTGTTGAAAGCGATCAGCGATATTGTTGAAAACTGCTTCTTAAACATTTAGGAGAAGACGATTGATTCAAAGAGTCTCATTAAATGTTTGCAGGGAGTATACTGTATAATTACAATCACAGCTCATTAAGCAGTGGCGTAACTGTGTAGACAACTGGGGATAAGACATGCAAAACTTAAACACCGGACAGCGTTGCAATCTCATTCGAAGGGTGGGGTCATTATTTGAAACTAGGTGGCGCTATTAAAAATACGATCCTGTACAAATATTATTGTACATTTTAGGCCAAGTAATCTGCATGTGCCGTTTCAAAAATGCGTGGGTATTTTCGGCCATAAACATGTTCATTTGCTCCATGAAACAGTGGCGTAGCAAGGTCATTTTTATTAGGGGGGGGTACCGGTAGACGTTAAAAGGGCACTCGCCCATCCGTGCTGAACACAATCTTCCTATGGGGCGTTGTTCAAACCGGATGATCATGGGCACATCGGATAATAGGTGGCGCTTTTCATAGCGACACAATTGCCGATGGCCGCGCGACAAAAACTCTCATTTTCACATTTGTTTTCGACAAGACACTGAATTCTAAACATCATGGTATGGTCCTTTTCGAAAGATTTTAGCAGGCGGAATAGCTCAGTTGGGAGTCCGTCAGACTGAAGATCTGAAGGTCCCTGGTTCGATCCCGGGTTCCGGCAATTCCAACTGTGTTCCTTGTGTCGTTTTTTTTTTGTCAAGACTTTGACAATATCCAAACAAACATCTTGGTATCATCTTTATGATCGATTGGCAATAAATAGCTCAGTTGGAAAAGCGTAAGACTGAAGATCTGAAGGTCCCTGGTTCAATCCGGGGGTTTCGGAAATTACATATGCAGCTTTGTTCCTCATCTCGGTTTTCACAATTTGTGTTCATAAGACACTGACTAATTCTATCGTCCTGTTCTTTATTTCGTCATTTTGGTGGGGTTTTTTTTCAGAAAAAAACACTGGCAAATTGTAAACCTCTCGGTTTATATAAAAAAAAAATGGGGTTGGTTCGTGTTGTTCCTTTCAAGTTCAATCCTAGCTTAAGAAACCCCATGGAATATGCTCATTAAAATGTCGAAATTGTCAAAATTCAATAGAACATTGGAGCTGGGGTTTCCGAAGCTAGTTTAATCCCAGGTTCCAGCAAGTATTTTGTGTTTCACACTGTACCATGTATTTTTATTTAACTTACAGACAAGATGCAGGAACATTCTAAGCACCTTGGTAGGGCCCTTTTGCAAGCGGTTTATTGATGTCGGTATTAATTCTGAGTTCAACTGCCCGATCACAGTAGATATCAACCGGAATAGCTCAGTTGGGAGAGGGTCAGACTGAAGATCTGAAGGTCCCTGCAAACCCAGGTTCGGACAATCCGAACTATGATCATCACTTGGTTTTCCACTTTTGGTTTTGGTCGACAAAACACTGACAAATTCTAAACATCTTGGTATGGTCCGTTTAGAAAAAGAATCACCAAGTCGGAATAGCTCAGTTGCTCGTCAGCCTGAAGATCTGAAGGTCCCTGGTTCAATCCCGGGTTCCGGCAATTCCAACTGTGTTCCTTGTGTCTTTTTTTTTTTTAGTCAAGACTTTGGCAATATCCAAACAAACATCTTGGTATCATCCTTATGATCGATAGGCGAGTGTATATTACATCAGCCGGAATAGCTCAGTTGGGAGAGCGTCAGACTGAAGATCTGAAGGTCCCTGGTTCAATCCCGGGTTCCGGCAATTCAAACTTTGTTCCTTGTGTCGTTTTTTTGGTCAAGACTTTGACAATGTCTAAATAAACATTTTGATATCGTCCTTATGAACGATGGCGAGTGTATATTTCATCAGCCGGAATAGCTCAGTTGGGAGAGCGTCAGACTGAAGATCTGAAGGTTCCTTGTTCAACCCCAGGTTCCGGCAATTCAAACTTTGTTCCCCGTCGCATTTTTGTCCCGTCAGTCTGACGAATTCTAAACATCTGGGTTTCTTCCTGTTCTTTGTTTAGTCATTTTTGTGGTTTTTTCCCCCCTTTTTTGACAAAACACTGACAAATTTTAAATCTCTAGGTATAACCTTTTTTTTTGGAGGGGGTGGTTTGAGTTGTTCTTTTCAACTTCATTCCTAGGTTAAGAAACCCCAACCATTATGCTCATTGCAAATTCTAAAATTGTCGAAATTTCATTCAGCATTGGGGCTGAGGTTATCGAAGCTAGGTCAATCCCGTGTTCTAGCAAGTAGTAGTACTATATATCTTTTTTTCTATACTTTAAGGCAAGATACAGGAATATTCCAAACCTCTTGGTAGGGCCCTTTGGCACACGGTTATCGATGGCAGTATCAATTCTGAATTCATTTGCCCGATAACAAAAGATATCAGCCGGAATAGCTCAGTTGGAAGAGCGACTGCAGATCTGAAGGTCCCTGGTTCAATCCCGGGTTCCGGCAATTCCAACTTTGTTCCTAGTGTTATTTTTTGGGGCAAGACTTTGTCCAAATAAACATCTTGATATCGTCCTTGTAAACGAGTGGCGAGTCGTTATTTCATCAGCCGGAATAGCTCAGTTGGGAGAGCGTCAGACTGAAGATCTGAAGGTCCCTGGTTCAATCCCGGGTTCCGGCAATTCCAACTTTGTTCCTCGTGGTTTTATTTTGTTTGGCCAAAACTTGACGATGTAAAACATCCTGGTTTTGGCCTTATGATCGACTGGCGAGTGTATATTTCATCAGCCGGAATAGCTCAGTTGGGAGAGCGTCAGACTGAAGATCTGAAGGTCCCTGGTTCAATCCCAGGTTCCGGCAATTTCAACTTTGTTCCTCGTGGTTTTATTTTGTTTGGCCAAAACTTGACGATGTAAAACATCCTGGTTTTGAACTTATGATCAACTAGCGAGTGTATATTTTTCATCAGCCGGAATAGCTCAGTTGGGAGAGCGTCAGACTGAAGATCTGAAGGTCCCTGGTTCAATCCCGGGTTCCGGCAATTCCAACTTTGTTCCTTGTGTCGTTTTTTTGGTCAAGACTTTGACAATGTCTAAATAAACATTTTGATATCGTCCTTATGAACGATGGCGAGTGTATATTTCATCAGCCGGAATAGCTCAGTTGGGAGAGTGTCAGACTGAAGATCTGAAGGTTCCTTGTTCAACCCCAGGTTCCGGCAATTCAAACTTTGTTCCCCGTCGCATTTTTGTCCCGTCAGTCTGACGAATTCTAAACATCTGGGTTTCTTCCTGTTTTTTGTTTAGTCATTTTTGTGGGTTTTTTTCCCCTTTTTTGACAAAACACTGACAAATTTTAAATCTCTAGGTATAACCTTTTTTTTTTGGAGGGGGTGGTTTGAGTTGTTCTTTTCAACTTCATTCCTAGGTTAAGAAACCCCAACCATTATGCTCATTGCAAATTCTAAAATTGTCTAAATTCCTTTCAGCATTGGGGCGGAGGTTATCGAAGCTAGGTCAATCCCGTGTTCTAGCAAGTAGTAGTACTATATATCTTTTTTCTATGCTTTAAGGCAAGATACAGGAATATTCCAAACCTCTTGGTAGGGCCCTTTGGCACGCGGTTATCGATGTCAGTATTGATTCTGAAATCATGTGCCCGATAACAAAAGATATCAGCCGGAATAGCTCAGTTGGGAGAGCGTCAGACTGAAGATCTGAAGGTCCCTGGTTCAATCCCGGTTCCGGCAATTCAAACTGTGTTCATATTGTTATTTTGGGGGGAAAGACTTTGTCCAAATAAACATCTTGATATCGTCCTTTTGAACGATGGCAAGTATATATTTCATCAGCCGGAATAGCTCAGTTGGGAGAGCGTCAGACTGAAGATCTGAAGGTCCCTGGTTCAATCCCGGGTTCCGGCAGATGCAGAATTATTCTTTTTAATTAAACCAATAATCTCGACATTGAAATGATTTCCAAGAACCACACGGGTTTTTTACTGTAACTCAAAAATATGGGCAACTAGGTTTTTGATCACCTGATTTCTTTAATTTTCCGAACAATCGGAAAGCAATTATCAAAAATTGTCTTTCATTTCTCCAAACTACTTTATTTTGTAGAAAAGCTATAAAATAATCCCTACAGTAATTTTTCTGATTTGTATGCATACATGCGAATATAAACAATCAGCCATTCGTCAAGAAAATGTATTCATTGGCCGACTATAACAATAGCTTATCTTATAATTACCAAACCTTATTCGCAAGAAATTCATTTAATACGTACAATCATTACTTTGGGAGCACATTTTAATAATTATCCCTAAATAAAGTTTTAAACCGAGGGTTCGTCATCTATCTATCTCGTCTCTTATTACAAATCGATTTTATAAGAAGGCATTTGGCTTGAAGTATTCCAAAAACATTGTATTGATTGAAAACAAATAATAACAGAAGTTAATCACTTTTTTACGGAACTAACTGTATACTAAATGACAAATTCAGTGGCGAATCTACGGTAAGGTGGGGGGGGGGGGTAACCTACCCAGCCCTGGGTCGCAAAAACAGATCGCGCAAAAATATGAATATCATAAAAGTCATGCCTGCAAACCCCCCCCCCCCCAACTGCTTAACCCCCATTGAGACAAACCTGGATCCGCCCCTCAACTGTGAGCTCGTTGTTAATGGCAAGCACCCCCCCCCCCATTATTTAGAACAATCCGCAACACATTCTCAATGCACGATGGCTTTCTGGCTATTCTATGAGCATCTTGACCACACCCAAAGTAGCCAGGAAGAGGAGGGATGACAGGCAGGTGGACACGTTGCTGGAGGGCGCTGTCGACCCTACTGGTTCTGGGAGCCACGGCGTGTAGTTGAGCCAGAGTGAATTGCCTCCAGACGACTCACGAAGCTTTAAATAAAAGTGAGAAGAAAAAAATCGTTCAAGTCGCGTACGTCTACGTGTGGAAATAAAGTTAGGTCCTTAAAAAGCTCGGGCATGGAGTTAAATTAAAAGTTGAGATATAAGGGGATGATTTCTAGGTATTTCAAAGTAGAGATATAAGGGGATGATTGCTAGGTATTTCAAAGTAGTATACATGAAGTATCAATATTATTGTTTTAGATTGTTTCATTTGATCTGCTATAAAAGTAGCTTCTTGCAAAGCATGCGTCTATAGCCGGGCAGATTCGGCGATTATTGGAAAACAAGACTGCGTCTAGGATCTCCAGATTCCGACCATTCGGCGGGCGCCTTCTGTCGGGTCTTTGGTAACCCGTTGAATTATAACAAAGCATGGAAGCAAATTGGCGATTCAACAGCTTAGTTTACATTTCTACACGAAATGACGTCACGATTTCTAAAGTCGACTCCGATTACCTGGCCGCAAAATTGGCACTGCATATATTATATCAGACGTTAGTTGCGGAGCACGAGTGCAGGCTCGGCTTGACAACGACGTTTAACAAAGATGACTCTTTAAGACTACTGTGAAACTCCATACCAAGTGCTCTGCAAGCGGTCCGTTAAAACCTTTACCTTTTGAGTCCTGTATCCGTCTTGTGGAACGCTGAAAGCATATCCAGTCGGACACTCTGCTGTGATTGGTCGGTATGGCCCAGGAGATGAACTTATTGTCCAATCATCGGGATCGTTTAGGCTCTGACATGCGTGGTACAGCTCGATGGAACAATCATCCGAGAGGTACCAACGCCAATCGGTTTTGCTGGTAAAATAAAGAAAAACAGTCGTATGGTTTAATAGTACACAGTTTAAAGAGGTTGTGGAATGCTGAAAGTCGCTTTGGTTTTTTTTTATTTTTATTGTAGAGTAGACCCTTATACATGTATATCACAATGACAAAGTCCCATTCTTTTGTAATGTGCGTTCATATGTTTATAAAACTGAAATTCATCGAGTAATTTGTTGGTCGGCGAGCGCATAATTGAAATCAACAGTCGTCGGGTTCTTCGTGAAATGAGAAAAATCGTGACGTAATAAACAAGACTCGTTTATACTACGCTGCATCGGGAGTCCTGTTTATTACGTCACGATTTACTATGTTTTGTTTGCTGCCCCAACGACGACTTTTACACAAATTGCACGTTCGGGTCGAAACAGGACCTGAAAAACAGCTCTCAAAAATACCTTTTGTATTCATTTCATGACGGACACAATAGTCGTTTTTATTTCATCACAACTTAGGCTACATATACCCGAAAAATGACGGAAATGTCTTTGAGCATTCCACAACCTCTTTAATATTGCTCGGATACCGTGGTGCGTGACTGCATGGACTTTTATAGATTTCGTACCTGATCCAGACGCAGGAGTCTGCGTCGAGCGGTTCGGACGGCTGGCCTTCCGCCCAGGTAAATATCGCTGTTTTCACCACATCAGGAGTGATAAAGTCCGTGGCAGGATACTCAACTCTGCACTTGACGAACTCGGTGAAGTCCAAAATGATTCCCGTGTCAGTTACGCCATCGTAGAAGGGTCTACATTAATTGTGTTTATAAAGAAAAGGAAAGTTTGTGAATTCGGATGTAAAATCCCATTGGTTGTTTACAATTTATTACGAACACTACCACAGACTATTGTATAAGATTTTAATTAAGCTCTTTTTAAAAATTTAAATTACATTTTGGGATCGACTTCAAAAATGTTAACTTTTTTCTGGTCATTCTTCTGGAATCATTCGTGGCGATAAATTCAATGCCAAAAGATGGCAGTTTAAGAATGGAGATTTCAAAATGTTACTGTTCGGATCGAATCCAAGACCTTCACGCTATCAGCTCAATCAGTTATCAAATCAGTCTGTATTCGTAGATGGTATAGGATCTTCTCAACATATAGATTTACAATTAATGCGGGGGAGCGCTTCAATTAGACGCGTTATTTCAGAGTTATGATTTAGAACGTAAGTACGTACTCGCCGTGCTTGACACGACTAGGTTGTGGATGTGTTTGATTGATAGGCGAGAATGTGTTTTTTTCGACGGCAATTCCTAAACAGTTTTATGTTTCAACGTGGTCCCATATTGCCCCGTATTTGGTTATAATTATACGCCGTGGCCCAGGTTCGAATCCCAGTTTTAACATAAATTAAAAGCGTATTCTGCCATGACGTTTTCATTCAATATACAATGCCGACAGAATCTTTCAACGTAATCCTATATGGTCTAGTGGTTAGGATCCGGCGCTCTCACTGCCGTGACCCGGGTTCGATTCCCGGTGTGGGAAATGAGATTTTTTTTAATCGTGTGGTGTACACCAACTTGTAGATATAGACTCGCGTCTCTTGATCATTTAAAGCAAGATATGCGATGAAGAAGACGCCCTCGTCTACAGTGTTGGTCATTGTGCTCCCGGAATTAATTGTCTGTTTTTTTAGTAAAAGTTACCTAAATAAAAAAAAATAAAAAGTGGTCAATGTGGGGCTCGAACCCACGACCTTCGCGTTATCAGCACGACGCTCTACCGACTGAGCTAACCGACCATTCAGAAGACTTATTCGCCATTCTGAAAGAGAGAATTCCATTACTCATGTTAATATAGATACTGTCTGATTCGGAAACATTTCTTTTCAAATGTATTTCAATGCCCAATGACTACGATAACCTACAATGTAATCCCATATGGTCTAGTGGTTAGGATGCGGCGTTTTCACCGCCGTGGCCCGGGTTCGATTCCCGGTGTGGGAACTTCTTTTTGGTGAACTTCCAGAACAGCAAATACATCGCTGAAATGTTTGTATTCAATGTCCAATGCCTACCATTAAGGCCAACGGAATCCCATATGGTCTAGTGGTTAGGATCCGGCGCTCTCACCGCCGTGGCCCGGGTTCGATTCCCGGTGTGGGAAATGAGTTTATTTTTAATCTTGTGGATATTCACTAGCTTGTAGATAGAGACCGCGTCTCTTTTGTCATCATTTTTGAAGCAAGATATGCGACAAAGGAGACGCCTCTGCCGACGGTGTTGATCATTGTGTTCCCAGAAATTATTGTCTGTTTTAGTCAAAGTTATCTAATAAAAAAATCAAAATGAAAAAGTGGTCAATGTGGGGCTCGAACCCACGACCTTCGCGTTATCAGCACGACGCTCTACCGACTGAGCTAACCGACCATTCGCACAATAGAGGACGCATTCTTCGTACTATAGGCCTATTTGAGTTTCACCTCAAAATATTAATTTGGGGGTTTTTTTTCAATTGCTATAGTTTTCTAGCAATATAAAAGTTAATAACTTTTGAATGAGACATCGATCGAAAAAAAGTACCGATGTTTAGTTATTAAATTATTTCTTCACAAAATTCGATTATTGACTTCCAGAGAATAATTCGGCTCTCGCCGGTAGGGTTCAGTTTTGCGCAAAATTAAAGCCCCTTTTCAGAGGGTTGCAGACGCCCAAAATCGGAATAAAATAAGTTTTCGTTTAAACAAAACATACAAATTGAAATTTGTTTGGTGGGAAAAAATCAATTTTTCGAAGCGCATAGGCGTATGAACTGGTCACTGTTACACACGGTTATTCGGTGGAAACTGAGTGAATTGGAAAGATTTCGCTTATGTAAATGTAATGTCGTTTCAGGCTTAGCCATCGATTTGATCACTGTTTACAATAGAAATTTTTAACTTATGATAATAACTAAAAGAAAGTTCCTTATGATAATAACTAAAAGAAAGTTCCAGTCGGCACTGCCGACTTTTTATGTTTGTTTTTTAAGTTAAGTAAGTATAAACCTGAAAGGATTAAGCTTATTTGCCTAGATTGCATTGACATAAAAATTGCAAACAGTAAGCTTTTGGCTAACTGAACAAATACAACCTACAAAACCCCTTTTTGGTTAGGGAAGGAAAAGGGACATTATCAGTATTTTGGTGTGGGCACCTGGGGGGTCGAAAATTTGTGGGGGCACGTGACCCCCCCCCCCCCCCCCCGGATACGCCACTGACCCGGTACGGTGCTCTCACCGCCGTGGCCAGGGTTGGATTGGAACTTTCCTTTAGTGAATTTCTATAACAGCAAATATACGTGTACATCAAAGACAATCAACGTCCAGTGCCTACAGTTAAAGTCAACGAAATCCCATATGGTCTAGTGGTTAGGATCCGGCGCTCTCACCGCCGTGGCCCGGGTTCGATTCCCGGTGTGGGAACGTGTATTTTTTTTTCATTTGTAAGCGACCCAAAATGTAAATTTTTAATTAATCATTTATGTGTGCGGTCACTATTCGATGCCAAGAGAAGGTTCTTTATAAGAATGGAAAAAATAAAGAATTACATTGTATATAATAAATATTTTTTTATGGTAAATGTGGAATACAAAACCCAATTCCTTAAAAAGTAAAACCTGTTGTATTCAAAGAGAAATTGATTTGAAAAAAAATTGCGAAAAGGACAAAAAATATAGCGTTGCATGCTTCGTCGCTTGAACTTCAAAGAAACTATAAGAGGCGTGAGTTTAAAGTTTAACCTGCTCTCAGTACTGCATAAAACAAAACCAGACACACCGAAATTAATGATTATGTTTGATATGTAGCTCTAGTCGGGTGTGCAACAGATTCGCCAGTGCAGAAGATAAATAGGGAATGGAAAAAATGTATTAATTTATCCAAAACGTATGAATGAGCAAAAAAATTAATTAATTCATACAATAAAGAAAAACTATCTGGTCAATGTGGGGCTCGAACCCACGACCTTCGCGTTATCAGCACGACGCTCTACCGACTGAGCTAATCGACCTCATGCCCGCTCGGGCAAAACGACAATTCATATAGTATGCCAATCTTGCCATGTTTGCGATCGATCGGTCGTGCATGTGCAGTATAGCGATGATAATCGGGCAGGTCATGCGCGGTACGTGCCGATTCACGCATGATGTCACACGAGGCCAGCAGAAACAAAATAGGAAGTCTTTATCTAGGACTTTGGATCGTGGTATAATAAAAGTTTTATACTGATATTGTAGTCATGATAGTTCCGTCGTTGATAACAATCGGCTTTGAATCCAGTTGAGAGCTGCATGCCCTCATGCAATGTAATTTCTCATGCAATGTAATTTCTTTAATGCAGTACTTGAAAATGCACCTTTCTGTCCCATTTAAATGCTTTTTCAATTTCCGTTTTGCCATTTCCAAGGGCATATATTTTCAAGTGGTGCCCTTTTTGTTTTTGTGTTAATGCAATTTCCATTTTCACGAGCAAAACTGTGATATTCCGGGCAGAAACCTCAATGTTAAAGCTATTTCAGGGTGTGTCAAGGGCTAGCCTTGATTAGCAAGTGTGCTATTTTCTAGCTCTTTTTACCTATTGTAGGTAGATCTGTTGTTGTTGTAAATTTTCGATGAATTGTATTGTGAATGTTATTTCGTTACATCTGTCAATTGGGTAATAAACTAACCAAATCAAACCAAACGTTGCAAGAATTTTTGTACTGTCGTAAATGTTCTTTTTCTTAGGTGATTTGTTGCTGTGTAAGTACATGGCAGTAAGCTATTGAGCAAACTTTTCTCAAAAAAATTATGTTTTCAATAGGCAAATTTTGGGTTCCAAAAATTTGGACAGAAAACTCCTAAACTGAACAGTGCCTTCCTGAAGTGACATCACAGCTGCAGCGCCCTCAGTTGTCCGGAACAGAAAGAAGTGCACCTTTCGATCAAACTAACCAAAAAGGGATGTCAATGGTTAAGATGAGTAGAACTTGCACAAAATATGTTCCACTGAGAGAAATTCATCCCATGGACCCTTTGATATATATTAACTGATTATTGACAAGACTTAATGTCTCATTCAGTTACGTTTGCACTGATCAGAGCCCTCCCCCCCCCCCGCCCCCCCCCCCCCCCGCCCGCTTTTTGATTTTTCGGGGGGCAATGACCCGTAAAAACAAAAAACTACTTTCAGCACGGACGAGGCAAGTGATTTGTTCACGTTTACTCCCCCCCCCCCCAAAAAAAAAAAAATCTAACTTCCTTTGCTCCGCCACTATCGGGCGCCCTGCCCTCTAACATCCAGCACCCCCCCCCCCCCTCCCACTGCCTCCCTTCAGTGTTTGGGATATAAAGTGCTATATGCACTGCCTTACATTGTACATACCCATAGTGTGTCCCATCGCTGAAGTAGCGGAGCGTGTTGGTAGCGTTTTTGACCCCACATCCAGGATAGTTTGTAAACTATTGAAACGAGTAAAAGTGGACAAATTACTATTATTCAAAACTGAAACGTGCCAAAAAATCATCCTCATACATTATATTTTATAGAAAAAAACAATCTTGGTTTTTCAACCGACCTTTAACAAAAGCACGCATACCAATTATATTTGTGAGATAATGACGATCCAATGTTTCGGCTAAGTCAGTTCCCGGTGTGAGAATGCGTGTTTTTATTTTCTCGTACCTCCTGAACTTTACAGTCAACATATTTGCATTTAGTCTATGATCTCACATTCCAAATATCACTCTGAACTTTAAGCAAGAAAATACTCTACGTTTGGATAAGTAAATTCATATTTTTTTTCCTTATTCTGAGTTTAAATGGTAACATTTTTATTCTCTTATTTCCAAAGATTGAACATTCACTCCATTCAAGGAATAATTGATGTCAATTAACCGACTGGAACTAGGAACCAGACCAGTTAGAGTGAACTTCACCCAATCTAATGGATCGAGTTTTCGTGAGTTCCCACTGGATTTATTATTGTTTCAGAGTATTATTTCAGTCTTAACTTTGAGGGTTTTTTTCCTCTAATTCGTCTGGTCTCTAGTTTTACTCTTTGAAAGTACAACGGTGCATGCTTTTTACTTGTGCTTCATCACAGATTTTAATAAGATGGACTTTTCACTCACACTGTTGACTCCGACATCTTTCCAGTACCGACGGTGGATGTAAACGTCACCGTGGGTGTATGCCTCCCCTGACGCAGCAATCACTATGTTCTTACCCACCTGCGATGCCAAAGGGGAAAAGTATACATCAAATTGTTAAATCGACTGGGAGAGCAGAAACAAATTGGGGAGTTTGGAGGGGGACTGTGCGTGCATGCCGATATGTCCGAGCCGTCCAACTGGGAAGGAGCCGTCTACTGTTCATGCATGATTTGGCGACCGTGTTTTCAAAGAACGTATTTTTTTGCAACACCGAAAACTAGAGGACGCGGTGTCTCAGAAGATGTCAAGTGTATTTTTGGTCGGAGGAATCCCTGTACCTTTCTCATGTGCTTCATGGTTGGCCAAACGCCACCGTATTCGTCCCGGAGCTCAGATGGTGTCAGTATTCGATCTCCCAAGAACTCCTCAAGCGGGCCGTGCACCTCGTCATCATGACCTTGATCTTCCTTTTCCTGATGGGAGAGAGAGTGTAACATCCATTCAAGTTTTACTTGAACACAAAGACCTCTTTTTTTTTACAACTGGCGAGTAGCAATCTCCTGAATCACAGGCATTTACCATGAATTTAGTTTCCGTCGCAAAAGCAATTCCACTTTCATATTTATATTTGCCATTTTTGGGGGAAGGGGGCTGTAACATCTGTATTTACTAACAAACTAACATGTTAGCAACAGTGTCGTAACTAAAAGAGGCACATTTGGCGCCCCCGTTTGAGACCTGTAACCCCCCCCCTCCCCCCGCCCCCCGCCCCCCCCCCCCCCCCCCCCCCACCCACGTTCACTCAGAATTTGGGGAAGACAAACAGGAGCAAATATTTGTTGCTGAAAACCCACCGACTGCACCTTCCAGAATATCAGGCCCCCTAAGGACCCTCTACACACTGGACCTCTGTTAAGAAAGTTACCTTTATACTATAGTCTCCCGTGAAATTTATAATCACAAAAGATGTAACGTCAATTATAATCGGATGGTTTTTTTTGTTAAAAGGCATCAAAATCAACTATCTCTCCTGAAGACGGTCAGAGCATACTGACCGGAACGTCGAGTTTATACCTCTGGTTCTTTTCAGAACCATTCTCTTAGTTGAGAAATTATTCGCACATGGTGTTTCCGCAAACCTTTCATTATTTAAAATCAACTATATAAATTCAAACAAAGTGATGTTAATTTGGCTTACGTTTAGATATATTCGTAGCATGTCTTGCTGGTTTCCGGGTTGGTTCAGCCAATCACCGATCTCCTTGATGCCGTCAGAGTATAGTCTGTCTGTTGGTCTGCAGCCAACGCCGTTGGCCAGATGGGCCATGCGCATCTGTGCAGAATTTTGTCGAGCACCGGTTAAAACAATTTGGCAATTATAAGCCTCGTAAAGCCGGTCTCGGGTTTCAGGCGGTATTTTGGTACCAGCCCTCACACTGTGAGCAAGGTTTTTCCTCGTGTACAGATGTATTTCCGGGTAATTATTAATTGTCATTTAATCCCGCCAGTTGATCATCCTTAGGCCTATTAATTTCCGAGACAAGGACAATAATGAAGATAATTTGTTGGCTTAGTCAACCGTCCGGTTCAAACTCGGTTTATGGCTGGTGCATGGTTTCTCATGTTTGTTGAATCTGTCTTTTTGTCATTTGCAAGTGAACTTCCTATTCGCTCTTTTCACACTCCGCCATTGGGCATGCACAGCCTCGATCTGGCAACTTTACACAATAAAAAGAGCCAGTTGATCCAGTGATCTAAACCCCGACTCGGGAATCACTGAACCGGCTATATTTATTTTGTAAAGTTGCCAGATCGAGGCTCTGCATGCCCATGGCGGAAGTGTGAAAATAGCGAATAGCTTATAGTTCAGCCAAATGTTGGCGAAGGACGATTTCTAAAGGTTACGTAACACTTTATTTTGAATGATAGTACATGTACACAGACATGTTCATAGTGGGGCTTTTTAAGGTCAAATATGTGATACAAGTGCACTTTGTGACTAAAGCATGAAACTTCTCATGTTGGTTCTTCATGCTTTCGCAACCATATGGCTGAGTTGGTCGATGATTTTTTGTAATTGCCTAGTCTTGGATCAAGACGTAAGTCTCTGATAATTTGACAGTATTGCATCTGATCTTTTTTTTTCTGGGCTGTGTATTTTGGTTCATGTATCGACAGATTAGCAAACTTCTAATGGTCGTCCATTTCCTATTCAGGCTTATTTCATAATCAAATTTAAGTATACGATCATCGGGAATCGATTTTCATCAGAGGAAAAGATTCAAACCAAGCAACTTGGGCTTCGCTAGGATGGGGCAAGGGGTGTGGAGGGTCAAAGGGGGAAAAAGGGGGCAAAGAAGAATAAAGCAGAAAAGGAGATTCGAAGTAAATATGTTACTATTACGTAATGTATATATAGCAGTAGGAACTGCCGAAAGGACGCTTAAATGTGTTTTTTTTTGGTTCATAAATATGTATATATACGCTTATGAACAGTGTCCCCAAGCGTCAAATCATGTGACTTTTTGAGAAAAAAAATTCAGTGCTTTGCCCCACCCCCCCGAAAAAAATGCTGGCGACGCCCATGCCAAGCAATAAGAATCAAATACGGTGATCGATCTATTTATTTGAGAAAAGATAAAATCACGAAGGTCTCGGTGTACCAAGGCTGGTAATTGGCCTGCTTACCGCTCCGTCGGCGCACCACCAAAAGTCGATCTCCAGACCGCGGATGCCCATATTCAGCAGGTCAGTTAAACTAAACACTTGATTGGCAAAGGTCCAACAAAAGTTGTTGTCATAAGGAGGCGGCCAATTACACGTGTCATTATCTATTCAAACAGAGCAAATAAAAACATTTTCATCGATTTGCAGAATTTACTATTTTTCGTGGAAGGAATATTGATAGATAAAGGATGATCCTGTACACTGTTATTATGAGTATCAGACATTCATATGTGCAGAGTGACACGATGAACGTCTGATTTAATTGGCATGCACATTTTGTGCGAAACGCGCGCCAGTCAATCAGAGTCGACTTTCCTTAGAAACTGTGACTTCATCTTGATCAGAAATGTGGACTAAGCTGTTGATTGGTCAATTTGGCTGCCATGTGTTTGTAATACAACAACGGTCAAGGAAGGCCCGATAGAAGGCGCCCGCCGAATGGTCAGAATCTCGAGATCAAGGCGCAGTCTAGTTTAAATTTGCAAATATCGCCGAATCTGCTCGTATATTTTGACCCTAGCTTCAAGCAATTCGGTATTGCATAGACTTATACAAGGTATGATATGGTTAACGAAATGTCACACTTCACGTGAAATAAGTTATTTAATAGTAATTTTATGAATAACAACTAATTACAGTGACTCTTTCTTTCCCCCAATTGGCCTAGCCCTTCTCTTTTCACCTCTGTATTATCAATCCAGTTACCCTTTTCTGTTAAGTAGTTGCTGAGACCTACCTTTCTCCCATGTCTTGCATATCTAGTTGCCCGTGATACTTACTTCCATAACCGAAGACCCTCGCGTTGTAGGCATTGTGGGCCTATAATAAAACAAGAAAGAAATCATCATCAACCTGGAGAAAATACACAAACAAAATCTCAAGCATATAAGATTGGAGCAAACTTTAAAATCGGGTTATGCACAAGCCTGGCCGGAAGACCCATCACATTACACCAATGGGGCCAACTTGTAAGGATGAAACCAATTATCACATGCACGCGTACTGGGAAAATATGACTTACATCCAGAAGTTGGAGATTGTTCCATGGCTCATCAATCTACAAGAATAGAAAAAATACATGTAAAAACAACAACTGATTAATCTGACTCAAATCAATTTCCGATCGGTGTCTATCTAATTATTTGTAACACAAGTCGTTTCCTCTCGGATGGTCCCAACTTGCTATTTGGTAAGATTTTCAGCATTGCAAAATGTTGCGTATAGTGATTTTTGGCTCGATCCCTGGCTACATTAGTCTGAGCATCACCCATAATTATCCAATGGAACCCTCTCCGTATAACCGACCAACGTCTGATATTATGTGAGCAATGCAAATTCTATGCGAATCCGTGCACCAGCCAATCGAAATCGACTTTAGAAATTGTGACCTCATTTCGATAAGAAATGTGGAGTAAGTTGTTGATTGGTCAATTTGCCCGCCATGTTTTAGTAATACAACAACGGGTTACGGAAGACCCGACAGAATACGCCCGCTGAATGGTCAGAATCTGGAGGTCAAGGCGTCTTGTTTTGCATATAAATCATCATCGAATCAGCTCGCATAATTATGTGCAGGAGGATATTCCATAGACTATGATTACGTTGCACGACTACAATCCCGGTAAAAATGGTTGGGACACTAGCTTGGCAATATCCATACACTCCCACGGTCACCCCGCTCCCCGGTCAATGTTGTTCTCTCCAGCTGATGGAGCACAACACTGCGCAATGAGAGACAACATTGAACGGGGGCCGGGGGCTTGGGGGCCCAGCGAGATTTGGCCAGGATTGTAGCTCCCTCAGCTTGAACGAATATATTGGCAAGTTGGGAAACCGTCAACTCAGTTATGGAGCGCCACGCCGGTATGGTTCAGAGTTCGCAAGTGCAATTCCCGCCCGCGTTCCAGTCGATTTCTTTGTTCAACTTAATGATCGATGTAATTTGTATCAATGCAAAGTTTGGGCTTTGAAGACAAAATCTATAAAATGTGCTCTTTTTACGTGTGTCTTACCTGAAGTTCACGTTGAGTCTTGGCGGCAAACGAAAACCAAGGATCGACTGGCACTTTGCCAGCCATACAGTAACCCCCTGATGTGCACTATGTAAAGAAGAAAAACACCGAGGTCACAGGAATGTCAATGATTTTTGTTTGTGAGTAAAAAAATTGAGTCTCCTGATGACGAACAGACTAACAGAGCACACTGTTCGAAACGTCGAGTTGACACAACTGATTCTTCTCAGCACCACACAATTCACACGGTGTAACCGCAAACTTCCATTTTTTGTTTAACGTTGTGGTTGTTCAAGAATTTCGATATGTTGTAAACAAAAATGAGAGTATTACGTACATCTGAGATTTCTCACTTCCTAGTATCATGAATCGTGGTCATCCCCACTTTGAGGGGTCCTCATTTTATGGAGGGTGCACTAAATGAGTTCCCAACAAAAAGTTATTGTTTCCCCACCCCCTTTAAATTTTGGGTGGTTTGGGCCGGGCACAGCTTGCATGCTTCGGGTGGGGAGCTATGCCCCTACTAGTACGTTTTTGTTTGAAGCCAACCGAAATCACTCACTTCTGTGCAACCGACTTCCTCGCTGATACCTGAGCACTGACCGTTGGATACTGCCTCAGCTGCAATGAGACAAAGTGCCTAAAAGAACGAAACATATGGCATGGCTTCATGAAAACATTAAAGGCAAGTATAACATGAAACATTCGTTAAGGTACACGTTAACTGTATGCACTCAGTAAACATTTTTTTTATTGCCCGTCGCGCATTTTGTTATTGCCCGTGTTGTTATTATGTAAATTTTGAACAAGTTTACATACAGAGATGTACTATGTGAGACGTGATAACGCCATCCTGTTACATTATGGTTTGAGTTAAAAAAAAAAAAAAAGTGAGTGATTTGTTTCAATTATAATTCATAAACAAAACAAACAATCAAGTTCAAACTGTAGGATCTCATAGACCATGCAGTCGTGTACTTGAAGTGTGTGACAGTTACTTTTGGGGTTACCGGAAGGTCAAAGCTAAATTTGAAATAAGTATACACACGTACAGACATATGTGAGTCGTGCACGGGAAGTCCTTCACCGTTACTTCCGGGGTTACCAGAAGGTCAAAGTTACGCGAATTCAAAATACCGAAAATGCGTCAATATTGAAACTAACAAAATTTATAATAAACGGTTCAAGAGATGAAGATGAAACCTTGTATTTGTTTTGTAATATTTGTAAATTGTGTTTAAATGCCTACCTGCAACTGCAAAACCGTGAATGCATACCGATGCATAGCTGCTGTTATTTTAACGTTTCCGCGGCACGCTTTCTCAATTAGTGTCACTTAGGCCATCAGCTTCGGTCCAAAATTTTGGCCACCGGTATCAAATGAGACGAATAATCGTCATATCGATTTTTTGCAAGGTATACACCTTCAGAGTTGGAAAATATGTGATGGCATTGCAACGGTGGCAGTTTTGTGGGTGTTATCACTTTTTTTTCAAAGTGTCCATCAAAATGCTTGTTACCACGCTAGGGGCGGTATACCTTCCCGCATGCGCAATATAATCATTTATGCCCTGATTTGATACTGACCAAACCCTCAGGCTGATGACCTAACTTATTTTGTAATGCATTTTAAATATCAGTATCATGGGCGTCGCGAGGGGGGGGGGCAAGGGGGGCACTTGCCCCCCCCCCCGGAAAAGCAACCCAAAAAAAAAAAAAAAAAAAGGGAAGAAAAAAACAAGAAAATAAAAGAAAAAGAGGCGCGAAGTCATAGTGGTGTAAATTTAATGAGTTGCGGGGGGGGGGCAAAATGTCCGTGCCCCCTCTAAAACTGATAAATCGAGAATTTGTTGAGAAATACAAAAAAAATTGGGAAAAATATGTTTTGCCCCCCTTTAGACAAAAAATCCCGGCGACGCCCATGATGGCCTGAGCTTTGGCTCGACTTTTGCTGTGAAAAGATTATCCAAGTGACCGTCTCGAATAGAGACCATGCATTTCAACACCCTCCCCATCCTCTCATCTCGGGCCTCCAACGAATTCAGATTTTCGGCTATTGTAATTGATAAAAGCTCCGTACTTTAAGTTCATTTATTTAGGTAGTAACATATTGAAGTGAAGTTAAATGAAATGTATGCCTACCTTCAAGATAAAAATAGTGAATACAAGCCGATGCATCTTTGCTGTTACCTCACGTTTCCACAACACGCTTTCTCAATAGAACCTTTAAATTGTATCACATCGCGGATAAAAGGTCGTCTATACTCTGCAACAAGTCACTAATTACTCACTGTACAGCGTCCTGTACCGTCCTGTACCTACACTCAGCAGTCAGATACTGCTGGTAAATATACATGTAAACGTTGACCTTTAACCCCTGGCATGCTGATCATGAGTTCGAGTAGCTCACCCGAGTGGACTCGTGTTAGCCCCGTGCCGTTTGATTAGTTCTGACGGCCTTCTCACCCGGGTCAGCCACCACATACCCTGGTCGTGGAGCAGAGTCACTGGTGAAAATACGTCACACGTCAAGCGCGCGATGTTCACTCTAAAAAACGGACAAATATGGCAGCCGGACAGTAAAAAAAAAAAACCAAGTGGACCCCAACATCAACTTTATTTGAAGTCTAAACGTAATATTATTTGTTGAGTTCATTGCGACTTTAGGGACTATTATATAACTACATCCCAACTTTGTTACTTTTTACGATTGATCATTGAAGAAAAAGCAGTAAATGACAAAATACAGACCCAGTCCGAAAATGTCGTTTTGTCAATGGTTACAGCGGAGGCTATTGCTGTCCATGTGAGGATCACAGGTGGCGCGTTGGACCGTTCGATTTGCCTTGCTCGCGTGGCTAGACCGGCTGCCTTTACCCGAGTCGATCCGGGTGAGCCACTCGAACGCATTACGAGACATGAGCACGCTTATTTGCAAATTAGGAAGGGAGAGCACGTGGCCAAATTAGAACATGTTTACCAAGTGTCCCCACTTGGTTTTGGGTCTGGTGTACCCTCTTGGCTTTGGGTCTGGTGTATCGGTTTTGGGTCTGGGGTACCCACTTGGTTTTGTGATGTACCAACTTGGTTTTGGGCCTGGTGTACCCACTTGGTTTTGGGTCTGGTGTACCCACTTGGTTTTGGGTCTGGTGTACCGGTTTTGGGTCTGGTCTGGTCTACCCATTACCCATTTAGTTTTTGGGTCTGGTGTACCCACTTGGTTTTGGGTCTGGTGTACCCTCTTGGTTTTGGGTCTGGTGTACCGGTTTTTGGTCTGGTGTACCCACTTGGTTTTGTGGTGTACCTGCTTGGTTTTGGGTCTGATGTACCCACTTGGTTTTTGGGTTTGGGGTGTACTCACTTATCATTATGTTGATTGAATGTCCGGCTTTGCCAGAAATTCAGTAACAGGCAAAATGGGTGAATACAAATATTTGACTGTGGCACACACACAGGCTAGGCATAGATATCAGTTATCATATGTTTTAAGTCTTCATTAGAGTCAGAGTATATGTGATACTTATTTTCTCATATGCGCTGTTCATTATATATTTGCAGCTTATTATAAGGTTCAGTTAGAATGGGGTCAATTTAGACTGTATAGAAATTCATGAATTATAAACTTAGTAATCTTGATGCAAATATTGATATGATTAAAATTCTGCCAAAAATAATACTAATCATCAGATAATCGGGCAGGAATCTGTCCACAGATCTGGATTATGTTGACTTTTTAAAATCAAACTCGAGTGTTCCTTTGGATCTTTTGCTTGGGTGTCAATCTAGTTGCTCGGATGCACGCGTTATCTTCCGTCGTTGCTGTGCTTGTCTCAAGTACCGCGCATGCGCCAAAGATAGGGATCCAGAAACAAATGTTCGGCCGGGGCCGGGGTGAACAACCGGCCGGGCAGAACATAATATTTAGTTTCTATATTATATAAGTACTATATTCAACCCAGAATTTTAACACCCGAGTCGTGTGTGAGATACGTACGTCAAAAGAAAACCTCCACAATTCTTACTTTATTAATAAAAAAGGAAGTCCCTTAATTTTTTTATTTTAAGTTTAGAAATTATATTTCAATATGGTCATTTTTCATATAGTGTTACTTACAGTCTCAAACTGGACAAAAATTAAATTAGAAGTATATTATATACACAGATCTTAAATACCGGATAAGCAAATGTACGACAACATTTAGGCATAAGGTGAAGCGGGTTGCTTTTGTATATCCTGACCTATTGACAGACAAACGTACACTAGCGAAAAACAGTGACAAAACATACACATATGCACACAGAGACGTACTTTACATAACTCTCGAGGAAAGGCGTTGTCTTTCCCTTTGTCCCCATAAATTAACACTCTCTCATAGACTTAAGCACACAAGTTCAAGATCGAGGACGGATTTCAACAAAAGATGAAGGCTCGAGGACCAGGAAGCTATTTTTTGTTCATAGAAATATATATACTAAAAATAATGTGAACCCCCCACCCCCAGGCCCACTGCTCTGACCCCCCCCCCCCCCAAAAAAAAAAAAATTATGACAATTATACCGGTAATATATCCGCATGTGCACAACATCTGGACGGAGCCCAGCTTTGTTATGGGGGTATTTGTACACTATTCTGCAAGAAAGTGTTCGTGATCGTCGGATTTAAACAGCGTTCCCATTGAAAGTATGGTACGAACACCCCCCCCCCCCCATTGATTTTACGGAGGCCAAGTGTCGGGATCCGAGAAAAAACCTGTCTACATTTCAGCATTGATTTGCTGATGAAACCCATCCCCCCCCCCCCCCCCCCCCCCTGCCAAAATGCCTGAATCCGCCGCTGGTACTGCTTCGGGTATTATACAAATGAATTTCAGAGATTAATGTAAATAAGGAGTTAAAACGAGGAGGTACTATTTATCAATCTATACGTACATTTGCACAGATTAATAAAGGTACAGATTTGCAAATATATGAACGAGGGAGTTGTTGGGCAATGTAAGTCTTACTGGAGATCAATGAGTATATTCCAACTCGAACCGTGCGTTTCTGCAAAATGAACAGTTTTTTTGTATTAGGATGGTGAACCACCCCAAGTCAAAATTGAATAGTTTCACAAAATTACTAAAGGTTAATCAGATTGTACTGGGGATTTTATATTTTTAAACGGTTCATTATATGCCAAAAGCAAATTGAATTTTTGTCGCTGTATCGTCAATATGGCATTCTCGTCAATAAACTTGTGCCCAGCTTTAGTTCTTTTTGCTTGACTTAGTCATGAATCATATAAATTAAAGAAACAGATTGAGAATGTTTATTCTGATCGGCACAGAAAATCATATACATGTACACACTTAGGAGGTAGTCTATGGAGTAAGGATATTTTGTGTAGCCGAGATCCAAGATACTGAGGGCGCTCTTTGAAAAGTCAAAAAAAGCAGTTGTGGATGAATGTCATTCTTCCCTACTCGTTCAGGGATGCAGTCGAGTACAACACAAATCCAGTCACAAGTAAATCACAAGTCCAGTCACAAGTAAATCACAAGTCCAGTCACAAGTAAATCACAAGTCCGGTCACAAGTAAATCACAAGTCCAGTCACAAGTAAATCACAAGTTCGGTCACAATTATATCACAAGTCCAGTCACAAGTAAATCACAAGTCCAGTCACAAGGAAATCCCAAGTCCAGTCACAAGTTAATCACAAGTCCAGTCACAAGTAAATCACAAGTCCAGTCAAAAGTAAATCACAAGTCCAGTCACAAGTAAATCACAAGTTCGGTCACAAGTAAATCACAATTCCAGTCACAAGTCCAGTCACAAGTAAATCACAAGTCCAGTCACAAGTAAATCACAAGTCCAGTCACAAGTAAATCACAAGTAAATCACAAGTTCGGTCACAAGTCCAGTCACAAGTGAATCATAAGAGTAAATCACAAGTCCAGTCACAAGTAAATCATAAGAGTAAATCACAAGTCCAGTCACAAGTAAATCACAAGTCCAGTCACAAGTAAATCACAAGTAAATCACAAGTTCGGTCACAAGTCCAGTCACAAGTGAATCATAAGAGTAAATAACAAGTCCAGTCACAAGTAAATCATAAGAGTAAATCACAAGTCCAGTCACAAGCAGTGGCGCAGCCACGGGGGGGGGGGCGTGGGGGCGACAGCCCCCCCCCCCCTCCCCCATGAAACCTTGTCGCCCCCCCCCCCCCCAGTCGCCCCCCACTGAGATTTTGAGTTTCTAAAAAAATTATCATTGATCTACATGACGCCCCCCATGAATGTTCCAGCCCCCCCCCCCAGCGCCCCCCCCCCCCAATTGCATGAACAATTACAAAGGAATTCCTTTGTCACAGTAGCTTGTGATTTGAGGACTTGTGATAGACTTGCAAGTCGCTCTACAATTTGCAATGGAGCGTACGCATAATTTTTTTTTTTCCAAAATGGTGATGGGCTTCAGGACTACTTTTAAGGGTGATCATCATCTCTCAAATGGCATCCGTCGGATTACCCCCGAAAAAAATTGAACAAATAAGTTGTGTGTTTGCAGAGTTGTGAGTATATATATTTCCTAATTTTTGAAAGTGCTCGCAATTATTACTGGGGTCTACGGTAATTGATTTACTGGTTTGCAACTTTGCAACCTATTCATTAGACAGAGCGGTGAAGCTGGGAAATTACTAAGCCACTAGAGGAGACTACAAGTGTCGAGTGACAAAGCCCTCTACTGGTCTCCGCGCCAGTCGCTTCGCGGCTTCGCATCGTCTCCGCTCTATAAGTCACGATGGCTTTGACGAAAGGCTAGACTCGGGGGCACTTGTGATGCAAGGACTCAACAAAATAATTGATATTGCTTAGTTCAGCATTTTTTTATGAATGCATGTTAGGGACCTCTCATAGACATGACCTTTCCACTGCATATAATAAAAACTAGAAAGCACTCAGAGAGCGCTAACCTCCGCCAAGGCTAAACATTTCCCCGCCATATGGTAAGTACACCCAAAAGAAATACTCTCGTAAACAATCCTTTAAAAAAATCCTGGATCCAGACCCAGATCCGGATCACTTCCAAAATCTAATCGATTTCAACTTGTACCAAGGACCACCCCTAAAATAATGTTCATGCAATCACTTTTTGATTTATCTTGTTAAAACAGACCATCCACTTAACCAACCAACCAACAAACAAACAAAATCCGATGAAAACATAACCTCCTTGCCAGAGGTCAAAATATGAACAGTAACAATTAAGATCTGTGCCCGTCACTCTTTTTTTCCTAATCTCAATAATATAATTTCCATTTTACTGTCCATTACATGTATGTTATGATTTCAATAAATATACATTCAATATTTTGCAAATTTGATTTAAACATTTGTTTTAAAATGTACATAAGATATAACAGGAAAAAGGGAACAATAGATAGTCCTGCCAATATATTACTATAATTTAATGAATTTGGAAATTCAGAGTTGGGTATCATTCGTAGATACACTGACATGTACAGGGGTACATGTATATACATTTACATACACATGACATCAACAGGTTTCCATGACATTTGATTTCTACCATGTCTACACCGAAAATATCCTTGGATTATATTATGCAAAAAAATATTGTTCTTGCATAAATAAAATACATGTATTATACAGAATATTCAAACATGCCCTTTCAGTTCATACACACTACATTCGACAGTTGCAAAGCATTAATTATAGCTATAAATGCAGAACTTTAAAGAAGTTAGTTCAAATTTCAGTGAAGATAAATAAATAAGATCATGTACATGTAAGTTGTCCAGACAGAGCAACACTTTGCACAGAATTATTTGAAGTATTGAAAGGCAAGTCTTAGTCACCTCTAATTTTTTTCACAGAAAGGATATCAACACTGGCGTGGTTGTCCACATAACTTCAAAAACTAAATTCAACAAGCTTTATTTTTCCCAAGATTTTAGAGACTTATTTCATACTGCATATTGATATAAGCCACCAGAGTGATTGGTGATTTTTTTTTTGATTTTTTTTTTTTTGGGGGGGGGGGAATCCACCATAGCCTTTAAGTAATTTCTACACACAAGGAGACCAACGATAGAAGGTCATTTCTAAAGATGTGTCAAGTGACACACTTGAATGGGTAGCCTGAACGTATAAATATATATTGTGGTTTGTATTCCCTCAAAATATATAGCATTCACAGAGCTAAACCTTCGTCAAATTAGTTGTTAAACACCTGTCTTTAGATTTTGCGTAATTTTGTTACTTCAAACAAAACAAAGTGAACAAATGACAAATGGTACATTCTACCTTTAACCCTCCTAGTGGAGAGTCAACATTCACAGCAAAATGTTAAACCTTTAAGGTCAATTTCAGGTGAAGGGATATGAAGTGCTAAAGTAACTTAGTCGCACAGAGAGTCACTGCACACACAAACAGCACTGTGGACAGCAGTGATGCGTGACTGAATCTGCCTGCTTGCCCTGAGCTAATTAACCACAGAAAAAAAACTATGCATGAATTTGAACTGCTATCCATACTCCATAGAAAATTTACCTCAAAGGACTTTGAAGTGTGGGTGCTAACTCTATGGGCAAAAGTTTGGGGTTTTTTCCAAAACCTGACAGGATGATGAAGTGCAGAAGACTAGGAGGGCTAAAAAGTATTGAGTTGAATCAAGTGTCTGCAGAGATCTACATGTAATTTCAATGAAATGCTTTCCATTTTTTTTTAGGGGGGGTGGATTTTTTCCACGATACATTGCTACTCAATGTGTGAAGCCTCCATGTTAAATTAACACATCATACAATTGGCATCTGATGCCAGTCCATCACAGATCTGGTCACAACGTTAATCACAAGTCAAGTCACTTGTCCAGTCACAAGGAGCAGGGGATGAGCAATAACAAAGGAATGCCATTGTCACAGACATTTTGAATGGCTTGTGACAAGGCTTGGGACTAGATGACTTGTGACTGACTTGTGATAGACCTGCAGAGAGTTGTGATAGACTCGGCTTCAACACTGCATAATGCAAACTGAATCCATGGCAAACAGCTGGCAATATTAATGCCCCATCATCTAGCAAAGTGCCTTTTTTAAAACAAACAATTATCAAAAACTAAAATAGTTTCATCTCCGTACATGCGTAGAGGTTTGCTTGGATGGACATGTATTATATTATTGCTTTGATGAATATATTCAGGCTTTATGATTTAAGGCCAACACGCTTGGAATGAAATCGCCCATCTCAACAAAATCTGCAATGATAATGTTCAGTCCCTTCGGCCCGACGGCCTTGTCCTTCATGAAATATTGCACGTTCTTGATGGCAATCAGGGCAAAGACGTCCTTCAGAGATCGGCTGATGTACTGCAGGACTGTGGTCCCCGTTGGGGTCAGCACACCCTGACTGACGTAGAATTTTCCCGGGGGACGACCCCGGGTGAAGTGAGCCTCCAGAAGGTTGACCATCTTAGGGGCTTCGGTCACGTTGGGCCAGACGGAAGGCATGAAATCCCCGGACCAGAGCTCAGGGTGGTCTTGCACTATCCCGTGGTGGTGATAGAACACCAGGACCTGCCAGCCTTTCTCCCAGAGAACATTGAGGGCGGTGGTCTCAATGTTGATCACGGGGCACAGTTTGGAGTCAAACACGCTCAGGAGGGTTGCCACAAGTTGCTCGTGGTCAGCCTCTTGCATCTCGTAGAGATGGTTGAAATCCAGGAAGATGACCTCCTTTGGGTGCTCGTCCGTCCAGGCTTTGATCTCGCGTAGGCAGGTCCCGACCTCAGCACCGTACAACCCATGAACAAAGTACAGCTCCGGCTTGCCATTCATGGTGGACACGCGCAGGTCGAAGTACCTGATCCCCCGATCCAGCTGCTGCCTGAAGGTCAGGCTCTGTGTGACTGACCAGCTGTAGACGATCTTCTTGGCCATGTTGCCGAAGGCTGAGACCAGATTACGCACAGTGTCCGGAGAGGATGGTGATACTGGTGTGTTGAGGTCCAGGGTGTAGCTAAATGAATCATGTGAGCCTAGGAGGAAAATATATGTACTTTCATCTTTTATATGCATCAAAGGCAGAATACAATCACGGTAGGTCAGCTCTATGATTGCTAGCCCTACTACTAGTGTGGCCCAGATATTGCTAAACTGTATCCAAGCATCCAACATGTCAAAGGATACTAACTTTACATTTGTTTCCCAAAGTTGGGCCTGTTTTTTTTTTTGGCAGTTTTTTTTTTTCTCGAGAAGATAACATAGTTTCCTTGTTCTACTTCTGTAGCGTTACAGTAGGAACCATGGACCAACAACAGCCAGGGAAATGTGAATTGATATTCTGGAAAGAATGTAGTATCCAGACGCCACTTCACTTCAGCAGTTGTGTACAAAGTCTATGGAGAGTCAAGAAAATTGTCCAAGTATTTCCTAACACAACTGGAAATGTTTCTCAGTCCCAGATTCATGTCTTTTCAACATTTTTGCAATGACTGACCGTTATTGAGGGACATTTTTGTGAGTATTAACAAAAATATACTACTCTTTTACCACTGCATGGACATTCAGTGATTCACATTGATTGAAAACAACTTACCAGGAATCGCGATATTTTTCAGTGGTTCACATCTAAGTTTTTCTGGTAGTTTTGACATCCAATCTGAATTGTCTGCGTCATTTTCAACCTTGGCATTTTCTACATTACTTGAGTCCCCTGTCGCAGCCATAATTTCGTTGAATTTAAAGACGTTTACCTACTCTAGTTTGTAAAAATACAATGCCTTAATTTTATACAGTAGCTTTGCCCTTTTTCCCGAATGCCGGTTATTGATGTCACGCCCCAACTATCGCATCGGTCCCAACTATAGTTGGGCCTGTCCCAACTATAGTTGGGCCTGTCCCAACTATAGTTGGGCCTGTCCCAACTGTAGTTCCACAGTTGGGCTGGCCCAACTATAGTTGGGCCTGTCCCAACTATAGTTGGGCCTGTCCCAACTGTAGTTCCACAGTTGGGCTGGCCCAACTATAGTTGGGCCTGTCCCAACTGTAGTTCCACAGTTGGGCTGGCCCAAATATAGTTGGGACGGTCCCAACTGTAATAATTAGTTCCATTGTTGGGCTGGCCCATCTATAGTTGGGCCACTCCGATCTTTTTATTTTGCGGTGTCCCAACTATAGTTTACATTGATGTACAACCATAAAACGTTCCCTACAGCTCTGATACACGTCTGACTTTACTGGGGACCACTGAAATTAGCTATTGATGGGGCGAATCTATAGTTGGGCCCCCCAATCTTTTTATTTTGCGGTCCCAACTATAGTGTACATTGTTGTACGATTATAAAACATTCCCTACAACTCTAATACACATCTGACTTTACTGGGGACCAATGAAATGATCTATGGGTGGGGACCATCTGTAGTTGGGCCACCGCAATATTTTTATTTGGCAGTCCCAACTATAGTTTACATTGATGTACGATTCATAAATACCTCAGACAGTTTAGCTATTCCTATTGGTCGAGAGCCCGTCACGTGGCCGGTCTTAAACGGATGATAAAGACATGGCTAGCTGGTCTTAAACACTTTTCCAGTGTCACAATAAAATGTGGACTCCTAAAAATCCAGTGCCTCTTACCGTTTCATTGGTTGAACGTTCACAATCCTCACGTAGGCATGCGCAACACTACAAGCGAGTCAGAATTTTATAGTTCTAAATTCAAAACGCAACGCCCCAGGTGCGTTCTGCGTGACATCGCGCAGAACATTTTACGCGCGCGTCAATCTCCATAAAAGGGTTGTTTACATCTTAATCGCCAGCTGAACACTCCATTATTTTGCTAGAGGGATGTTTAAAAAAGCATGAAGTGAACTTGTTGAATAAAATCGGGATTTTTTGAACGAATTATTTGATATTTTTTTGCGGATAAGGTATTTATGAATGGGAATAAATATGTGCTCGGTCGGTATTTATCACTCTGTTTAATACCGCTTAGAGTCTGGGTGCTGATAATTACCCTCGCCTCCGGCTCGGATAATTATCAGCACCCAGACTCTAAGCGGTATTAAACGAGTGATAAAAACCTCCGGAGCACACATTTATTCCCTTATTATAAAACATTCCCTACAGCTAGCTCTGCTTACATGTCCGACTTGGGACCTTTGACATTAGCTATGGTTACGGGTGGGGCCCATCTATAGTTGGCCGGCCATGGCAATCTTTGAATTTTGCAAAATGTTGCTGGATAATAAAACCCAGCAGCTGGACAACTCATCCAACTAGGCAGTGCCACGTGACCGGCCAGCCTTGCGGCATGCATGCACGACGAATACACGGTGCCAGCGCCGCGGAACATTTAATCCAACAAGATCTATCAAGCATGAAGCATCCGGCGCAACTCCAGTCCTAACTATAGTTGGGCCGACCCAACTGCCGCACTATAGTTGGGACAGTCCTAACTATAGTTGGGACCGATGCGATAGTTGGGGCGTGACATTGACATGAGGGCGCAATAACAGGCTCTTGAGGGCGCAATTTATTGTTTACGTTCGTGTGAATCACAAAACTGCAAGTACTACACGATCACGAAGACGCATGCAGGGATCACAACTGCAGTGCTTCAATTTATGGTAATTTATGCTTGGGTTTAGATATACCCCTTGGTCAAACTTGGGTCACTAGTTTGGGGTGATGAGCTGTTCCAAGACGTTCTTAGCGGGGTAATCATAGTCGGTATACAGTCACTCAGGTTGGCGTATATGGCCTAGAACTACAGTTTGCTCCGGCCGCGGTTTTAGCTGAGCCTCAGTGAATCACCAATGAAATGTTGACTACTACTACTACGAAACGACTACTATTAAAGTACAAAAATGTTAGCCCCATAACTGTGGCCAATTTACTGGACTACCTCCGTAAATAAATGAATCGCGAGGCACAAACGGCGCAGGAAAATCGTGATTTCTACCCCAAGAAACTGTTCAAAATTGCAAAACGGGTGTCACTAGAAAGTAGAATTGAGAAAAGTCTGCTTTTGATTGTGAAGGTGATTTTGAGCAATAAAAAACATTTTTGACTCTTAATTTGATCAAAACAAATTACGGGCCCTACTCTACACAATCGCCTAACTTCAAGTTTTTATTTTTACATTTAGACTTTATTTGTAGTTTATTTACACTTTAATAGAACCATACTCACCCCCTTCATAGCAATAGAAAATTAGTCTCCCCTTTTTCAGACACCTACTTTTCGTGTAATTTCGTTTTGGAATTAAGATACGCAAACGTTTGCAAACGGACCAGGAAATTACATGAAATATAGATGTCTCTAAAAGGGGAGACTAATTTTCTTTTGAGTTTTGAGACACATTTATGGGGCTGCAAAATGCTATGCAAATGAATGTGTTATAACATCATGTATGTACTTACATGCAATTTCACTTTTTGTGTATGCAGGTGATGTACGAGTTTATGCGTATAGAGCACAACAGTGCCAATGGAGGCTGAACACATCGTGAAAAGATACCTGGGGAAAACGGCTAAGAAAAACTGGAAACACATACTGCTGAGCATAGAGGGTGTCTCCTCTGGAATCAAGCCAAGTTTCCTGTACGACTATTCCTGTCTGGAACCCAGTCAGCTGTCTAAGATGACAGCTGACTTGGCTGCATCAGGATTCCTTGCCAAGGAGAATTTACAGGTGCTTGGCCTTGGTCAGGATGCATTCCTCACCAACATCTCGTGTGTCAAGGATACGGTGGATGAGATTTACAAGGCTCTTGAAAAAGGCAGACAGGTTGTTGTGGATGTTTCAGCCCATCTTGAGCAGCCCAAATTACTGGAGGATGAAACTGTCCAACGAATCAAGGACCAAGTGGGAGATGTCTTAGCACAGCTTCAAGATCCCCAGAACAACTCGCAAGCTGTCCTGGAGTTGCACCCACAACAAGGCTGGAATCTCTCAACAGTGTTCGGAGTGCTGCTTGGGTATCCGGTGGTGTACTGGTACAGCGATGTTGAAAACTGCTCCAACTGTCTCTCCATGATTCCACTCAGGGTTTACAGAGTGTCGATTGAGTCTGACAAACCAAACAGTTCATCAAGTGCAAAATATGAGTTTCCTAATCGGCATCAAACAGCTTTTAAACCAGGCCGTGTAGACGACACGGTGCATGAACACCATATTTACAGCTTCAGTGTCCCGGGGGCACTCTTACCACGCTTCCAAGATCGCATTGATGATTGGTTCCAAACAGTACAAGAAAGGACGCACATCAAACTGAGGATAACATGTGAATCAGTGACTTTGCCCGCTGTTGCATTATGATAAAGTGATGACGTTTATGTGTACATGTATGTGCATATAGTTGTATTTTGAATAATGGAATTAAACCAATTCCTGTAGCAATTTTTCTAGGAACCTTTGTGAATCCTCCAAAATTCTATTTTGTACTTTAAGAAAAAAACACTGGATCATCCAGACCTACTCTGAAGAGGAAAACGTAGCTGAGCTATACAGTCTTGAATTAAATCACTGAACAATAATATGGTAAATAAAACTTAATATGCTCAATATATATTTTTCAAACTATTGCAGCAGGTTTTTTTATTGAATCATTTTGAGTTTTGGGTTTGACATATCCTGCATCTTACTTTCATCATCCGTTGACATCCAAGATAAGAGGGACAAATTAGACACAAAGTCTGCTCTGATAAAACTTCAATTTTAAACTGTCACCTGCAGTAAGAATGCACCTTTTTTTATCAAATAGATACATGTAGTTTTTCTGACAGACATATCTGGAAAACTAGAAAGGCAAGTGATAATTGTACAGTACACTCACTTCAGAAAATTTGTCATGTGGCAGTAGCTTTGCCAAATAAATGGCATGATACTTTCGCCAGATTTTGCTATACTTGGCAGTAAATCTCAGGTGTTTGACTGTTATTTCACCCAGTACATTCCTTCCTGTTGAAGTACAAACCCCTTTCCCATTTGAAGAGCTAAATTAGAATTCAAATTCGAGAAAGTATTAACGTAATTTACCAAAGCAATGTCTGCAGCTTGTGTTACTACATCATCATACTCAGGCATGCAACTGGGGAATCACAAAAAAAAGAGGAAATTCAAATTTTCCCAGACTTTGTACAGTGTTGTTCTATTTTCAATGGCACACATGGGGAGTAGAAAAAGAGGAAATCAGCTGATCCGAGGAAAAGTTGCATGCCTGTATACTTCAGACTCAAAAACGATACAATAATGCCACTCCTGTTAACTTCAGATTGCTTTAAAAAATTTATTGCAAAATGAATGTCATAAATATTTAAGTTAAAACAAATATTTTATAAATTTCTTAAGTTTTTAAGCTGTACATGTATTATGTTTACTGTACGTATAACAGTGTGTATAACTGTATTTGCTCAAGCTTAACGGTTCCCTACAAGATATAGACTTTTTGCATTAAGGTGAAGTTAAGAGGGCAATAATATTGTTTCACTTGGATAGGTGTGATTAAACCTTTTGTGCTTTCGTTGTTACTAAATTAAAATAACAAAGGACGCCCTCTGAGAGACCTGCAAAGGCTGCAACGCATAAGGTCTATTCTGTAAATTCTTAGAATGTAGCTGAAGCACAGAGCCAAGCAAACATGTGTCCAACACTGTTTCTGAAATGATGCAAAATAGTTACTTTACCCAATGTGATCAGCATACATGTTGATTCTTGTGTTACATGTACTCAGAATAATGGAATAAATTATTCTACAAAAGGAACTTTACAAAAACAACTTTGTCAACAATTTTGTTTTTATAACTGTTTTTACTGTAGCAAATATAAAGAACACATATACAACTAGTACACAAACCGAATGTATAAGAACAAAATTCAACTACCCCATCCCAAAAAGCATTGAAAAGGAAGTTTCATAAAATCTGCAAAAAGTGATAGCCTGTTTATATTTTGGAATCATTTCAGATTCAAAATGAGGGATTTTGGGATCTGAATAAGCCCTTCACACACTGATATGCTGAGAGTATAGGGTTGATCCCCTTTTTTAGGGAGGGGGGTGTTGATGGTTCAGAAATTGTAAGCATTACTTCATCCTCAATTAAACCCACGTGAATCCACGAGAAACAAATTAATAGGCACTACAACAAATTATGATCGGAATAGAACACAGGTCAAGTTACTGTGAATCTATTTGGATCTGATGAAAAGTTTGACAACACTTTTGTACGTAAAATATACAAAGAAGTACCTTTGGAAAAAATGACTTGAAAAACTTGAAAATATATTTTTTAAATTGGAAATGTCTTGATCCAGGATGCACTTGGGAATCATAGAACTATTTTGTTGACAAAACATCGTCTAATAGTTTACAAAATTTGACAGAACGATATTAACCCCTTTGGTCATTGAAGTGCCTGATCCCGTCCAGCCTGCTACTCCCTGTAGCACCCAAAACCGCCCCAGCCTTCTTTGGTTGTATCGATTCTTTAGTGAATAAACACAACGTAGTACCAAGTGATGCAGGGGCTGAAGGTTAAATCACTATAGTGTTAACTCACTCTTTGTAGATGGTACATGTACATCAATGTCTGGGCACGTGTACATCTTGTCTGGCTTAAATGTGGCTATTTCCATATCACATTCATTTTTATATTTGTGCGCAAAATGAACTGGACAATGCTTGAAATGCTTTGTCGCATTCCAAACACGCCCTCATATCATCAATATAATCACGGCTTTCTATAAGGGGAGAATGCAAAACAAATCTAGCGGTAACACGAGGTTAAAGGGCATATACAACATTTGCTTTTTGTATTTTTCAGAAATGTACGGATTTGGGGGGGTTAGTATTCTATAGCAAATATTGTTACACTGATCTTTTTTGTGTTCGTAGATGCTGGGAAAACTTCTTTCTTGGAAAATCGTTCTTGAAAATGTCAGCACACCAGGTGCCATGATGTTACAGGATGCTTTCGATTGTCATTCTTTAATAGTCCAGTGAGGTATTTCATAATAATTTGGTTTTGTTTGTTTTTTCTTAGGTTTGCAAATGTTGTATATTGCCTTTAGACTGCAAGCGTTGACTGCAAGGTACCCCATAAAACATCAAGGTACACCTCGAGCTAAATCTGGAGTTACCGGCTGTTTGATTTTGCATTCTCCCCTTACATCCTGTACAAGAGAATGAGGATTTAGCACTCTAGTATGGCTCTGTATGAAGCACAACAGTAGATCCCGGATCAGTGCATTTCCCTCCTTGATTCATCTGAGTTATAACTCTGTCTTCTTCTTGTAATACTTTGGTTTGAGTTCCTCGACACGTTTGATGAAATCCGTCTTCTCTGTGCAGGCTTTGCACTCCTCGCCCCAGACACTCAGGATATTCTTCAGGTCTTTCACCTTCATTTTCTTCAAGTCTACTGAGTCCAAATCAATTTGTTTTTCTGGTAGGAGGGAAAAAGAAAAAAATCTCACATCAAAATCTGACAAATCAAAGAGACAATTACTGTGTCAATTTTTGTTTTTCCCAAGACCTCAAATCTCATTTGAAGCAAGATATGCGACGGAGGGCCCCCCCCCCCCTTTTTTTTTGGGGGGGGGGCCTTTGTGTTCTTGGAATCTCAAGAATTCTTTCGAGGTACCTAGAGAAGCTGTGCCAGGTAAAATTAGTCTGAGGTGTGTAAAGGGCATAGGGGCACTTGGGGGGGGGGGGCGGAGAACCCTGTCGCAAATCGTGCACAGTATATCAAATATTAAAAAAAAAACACTAAAGAAGTCCTTCAGCTCTGCGCAGGCTCCAGATAATGCGTGTCCATGCCCAGCTCATTTCAATCAAAACTTATTATAATAATTCATTTTATTGAACTGATCTGATTTTTCTTTTTTAATCATTCAAATTGAAATTCAAAATAGGTACACCAAGATTTCTCATTAATGAATGAAATAATACAATCTCTTTTTCAATTTTTACAATCAATTTTTGTTTGCGACAGTCATTGTAGGAAAAAGAAATAATTACATTTAGGTAAAAATGATGTCAAACCCTAATTTTAAATCAAATCAAAATTCAAAATAGGCACGCATATCAAAAATTCCACATTCATAAAACAAGAATTACATTCTCTAATTGGGGGTTAATTTTGTTTGCAGCAAGCATGAAAAAAATTCATTTTTGTGTTTGGAAAAAGCAAATATGCACATAGTTTTTTTTGGGGGGGGGGAGGGAAGGTCCAATTGTCATGAAACTTGGTAGTTATACATGTAAAACAAATTAAGATGTGACCTATAAGCCCCGGGATGCTGCATGGACTACTGCCATCAATTTACTATCACCACTAAGGGAAGCACCTCAACTCCTAACTTACCATATTCAAGCTCACATATCTGTGAATCTAACTTGTTAAGACGCTCGCATATTTTATCCTCCGGTACAAAGTTGAGTAACCGCTTGCTGACCTCACCCAGTGAGCCAGTTGCTGCATCCGCTGTACCACCAATGAAGTAACACTAGGAAATGAAGGAGACAGTAAATGGACTTAAAAGCTGATAGTTTTCACTAAAGCTAGGATAGTTTCCACCCAAAACAATCCCCAGGTATTAACATATCACACTCACGTAAGGAAGGGTAAATGAGTGGGGACAGAATTTTGGAGCATGACCTCTTCACCCAAGCTCTCCTAAACATTAAATCAAACTGTATGTATTTTGCAGTTTTTGTTTTGCATGTACATGTACATCTATGTCATTCATAGTCCTTGTTGCACACCAAGAGCCTAGGTAGGGTCGTCTCCAAACTACTTTAAATTAAACTGGCAAGTGTATATTTCATTATCCCATTACACTGCATGTAAGCTTAAAGGGAATGTACAACATTTGCTTTTGCTTCAATTTTCAGAAAAAAATGGATTTGGAGAGTTAGTATGTTACAGAAAATATGGTTAGACTGACTTGTTTCACGTTTTGGGCTTGTAGCTGCTGGAGAAACCAAGAAAACCAATCATTTTGTTGTAGTCTGGTTCCCTGACCCCACTTAAAATTAAATCGAGCAATTTATAGACTGGGGGAATTGTAAGGTCAGAGAATCAGTCTGGCAGGCTTGTACTCCTTCACGGGTGTGTAATCAATTGCAAAGAAAATGCGGAATAACTAAAATATTAAAAATTAAGAGCAGTTTTTGAAAACTCCAGTTTTCTCCAGCGCTGGTTGGCCGACCAGCGTTGGAAAAATACAATATTTCTTGAAAATGTCAGCACACCAGGGCCCATGATTTTTACAGGATACTTGAGACTGTTATTCCAAAGCAAACCAGTAAGGTTTTTGTGATAATTAGATCATTTCCTTTTTTTGATGTTTGCAACTGTTGTATCTTTCCTTTAAACTTGTGATATTATAACTATGAAATCATCAGTTCCAGGGGGATCATACTTACAAAAGTATACTCCTTAGTTTTGGCTGATTTGCAGTACTTTCTGATGGCCTTTTCAACGCCTTCTCTGCCTTCGTCACGCTGCTTTTTTGTGATGGTCTTCTCAATTTTCTTCAGGGTTTCAATGCAAACTGAAATTCAAGTGAGTTAGGCAACTGGTGAGTTAAGCGACTGGTGTAAGTGACGAAACAAAGCAAGATGAATCATATTTTAGTGTAATATATTAAAATGTTGACTACATTCCACAGGAAACCAGATTTTTGCCTTTACGCACTTCCTTCACTGGCCAGTAACAAAACAAGTGGATATTTGGCCGAAATGGTTTAGGGGTAATGTTCAAGCGATTTCCAAAACTTCTTTTCCCCCCGACAATTGCAAAATGAAAGACCTTCAAACTGGTGGAAAATAATCTTGGGAAAAAGTTTGGTAACAGTTGAATTAATTTATATTTTAAAACCTAGTATAAGTGATCGGGAACCGTCGATGATCTGGAACTGTCGCACTGACTGTACGGCCAACATGGCCAAGTGTACTTCAAACACATTTTACAACATGTCAGTCATGACTGACATTTTATGTTAATACCAAAGATTAGCATAGAATAACACTTTATACTGCTGTGCTGGAATAGAAAATCAATTTTACAAAATAATCGTAACAAAACTGGAATCCAAATAAATCAGATATTTAAAGGGAATATACATCATTGGCTTTTGCTGTAATTTTCAGAAATGGATGGAATTGGGGGGTTGGAAATATAAAGCAAATATAGTTACACTGACTTTTTGGAGGTTTTGGGTTCGAAAATGCTATAAAAACCAAGAAAAACGACCATTTTCCTGTAGTCTGGTTCCCTGACTCCATATAAGAAGAAACAGAGCAGTTTACATACATTGGGGAATTGTAAGGTCAGGGAACCAGTCTAGCTGGCTCGTACCCGCTCATAGGTTTGTAATCGATTGCAAACAAGTGCAATGGTTATTTGGGGCCAGTATTTGAAAAAAAGCCAGTTGTTTCCAACGCTGTTTCCAATCCTGTTAAGGTATTTCGCAAAAACTTGGTAGTTTTATTTTTCGATGTTTGCAAATGTTGTATATTCCCTTTAATGTGAATTACAAACAAAATCAGCATAAAATTAAAAACCTATCCTTCAAAGCAAAATTGATAACAACAGTTACTGACAGTTTAAAAGTGATAGCAGCAGATTTGTGATACCATACTAGAGGAATTCTTCAATGGTGATACGTACATGTACATGTACTGATATTCAGTGGCAGACATGGCATGGCAGAACATGATTGATGAGTTAAACCTTAATGTAACTTGTCTTGAATTAAGATCAAAATTATATTCACAAACATATAAATTATAAATATCTGACGAAAAAAACCACAAACCTTCACATTCGCCCTTTTTCAGTTTGGCTTCCGCTGATTGGAAAAGAATAACTGCGCACACAGCTAAAGCCAGGTACAAACTGGCCATGGTAAATGCTTGGAAATTCATGACGAAAAACCCAACCACTCTCTAAATCGAAATTAATGTTTATTTTCTGTCAGTCTCCAAAATGAAAAGTCTCTTTCAAATGAGCCAACGTCAAGCCCAACAAAGGCCACGTAAATTGCACTTGTAGTAAACGTCAATCGAAGTAAGGTTTAACCATGGAGCTAGGGTTTAACAACATACTTTATTCAAGTTTGAAGAACTGCTTTGAACACGTACACGACTCACGTTGCGAATTAAGATTAAGATCACAACTTCACACATGTGCATCAACGTGGACGTATTTCCTAATACATTTGTCGTGTTATCATTGGTCAGTTACCTGTGACGTAGCCGGCATTTTGACATGTCCGTGGAAATTTGGGTCAGCGGTAGGCGGCGCTATATCATAAAGCAAGATGGCGGCCTCCATGGGAATTTATTTCGGAGGTTCCACCACGTGTTTGGCAATAAGTAAAGTAAGTTAAACAGATTCAGAGTCGATTCTTTGACGTATTGTCGTTTCATTCTAATTCTGTAGAAGTTATCAAGAAAACACAGCCGTGTTAAATACGTTTACATGGGTGTTTACTGTCCGTGCGGTGCGAAACCGTCTATCCATGCACGTTCGTATAGTATAGCCCCACTCGTCATGCGCGCTCTAGCCCCATAAATGTGGCCTATTTACTGGACTGCCTCCGTAAACATAGGCCACACATCCACATGTACAAAAATCGTGTCGACTTTGCCAAATTTTGATTTTCACATTTAGGCTTTGCCTTAGTTTGTTACAAACTTTGTAGGGTTTTTTTGCTTTAGAAGCATACTCACCCTCTTTATAGGCTAATCAGAAAGTGCTGCCTTTTTCAGATCTATATTTTTCGTGAAATTTCCAGATTCATTTTTACACGTTTGCGTATCAAAATTTCAACATGAAATTTCACAAAAATTAGACATGTGAAAAAGGCAGCACTTTCTGACTAGCCTATAAAGAGGGTGAGTATGCTTCTAAAGCAAAAAAAACCTACAAAGTTTGTAACAAACTAAGCCTAAATGTGAAAATCAAAATTTGGCAAAGTCGACACGATTTTTGTACATGTGGATGTGTGGCCTATGTTTACGGAGGCAGTCCAGTAAATAGGCCACATTTATGGGGCTACCTCTGGCCACACACAGTGGTACCGCGCACTACTGAGGACGAAGTTTTTAAAAAAATTACGGTCCATTTCTTACATATGGTTGTATTCTATGATGTCCTATCTATCACTTCTGGGATGCTTAGGTGTAATGATGTTCATTTTTCCGAGATATTCTTGAATCTTTCTGGAGCCCATATGCACTCGTGAAACGTCTGGCGATGGCAGCCATTTTGAATGTGACAAGAGATGACCTCAAGCTGTGACGTCGCGTTTATGCAAATTGCTTGTCAGTGAGGGCGCGAGTTGCAAATGCGACGGCTGTTTCCTGTGCCGTGGATCCTGAATAAAGATCAGTGCACGTGGCCCCCAGACGATAAATGCATGGTACAGGAAACAGTCGCCGCATTTGCAACTCGCGCCCTTGCTCGACAAGTAATTTGCATAAACGCGACGTCACAGCTTGAGGTCATCTCTTGTCACATTCAAAATGGCTGCCATCGCCAGACGTTTCACGAGTGCATATGGGCTTCAGAAAGATTCAAGAATATCTCGGAAAATTGAACATCATCACACCTAAGCATCTCAGAAGTGATAGATGGGACATCATAGAATACGACCATATGTAAGAAACTGCCCTGAATTTTTATGAAAACGCCCTCAGTAGTGCGCGGTACCACGGTGTGTGGCCAGAGGTTCAGCGCAGCATACCGACGGCCACACTAGTGGGGCTACATTCGTATTGATATCATTATCAAACTTAGGCCAGAAAAATGCGAGGGGCGCTGTTCATTAGCATTACTAAAATAAATATGTGACTCATTCTGTTTGAACAAAACGATTCTGGAATGCCATGCTTGCCGGAATGTTTTTTGCAAATTTTGCATTTGTATTCAAAATCAAATAAGACTGGTTTTTCATAAAAGTAAAATAAAAGTTTCATATCATAATCTGATAAATTTGCAATACAGTTTTTGGTTGATTGTGTAGTTACGCCAGGTTACGGGCCCCTCTTCAGCTCTTTCAAGTTTCATCATGTTCGTTTTGGTCTTTTAAGTTTAAGTGGCATGATAGCCTCTGCCATTTTCTCTGCAACCTGAAGCAGTCTTTTAGTTGTACTGACACTATATTTTGCAATTTTGAACAGTATCTTTTGGAAGAAAATACAGGTTTCTTGTGTATTTTTCATTTGAAGCCATGTGAATCAATGTGGTTTTTGACATTCTTGGTGCATCGTGGTAATGGTCTTTCTTGTGTGCGTGTTGGGTTCTCGTTTGCATCATCATTTTACCCCGAAATTTCCCTTAAAAAAAATTGAAAAACCTGCCCTCTGTCATTCAACAACATTCCTGTTGTTGGTTGTACTTTTAATACAATTAAGGGAGTATTTTTGTTCTCTATAGGATCGGGGCCCGTAACTACACAATCGCCTAGTTTTGTGTGCAACCAGCTATTCACACTTTACATCGCAGTAACCATACACGTACATGTACTAGGCCTAGACCTACTTCAGTGGCAACAAAGAATGTGTAAAGTTAAATATAAAAATGTGTGTAAATGTCTCCTGAATAACAGGATGGAAAGACTGATGTGGTAGCCAACGATGCTGGGGACAGAGTGACACCTGCCATAGTTGCATACAACGGAAATGACAAGGTACATGTAACTCTTACTATTTCATTCGGACTAGAGTTGTAGTTGTTGGGTGCCATTGCGATAGGTGCTGGTGGTTTTAATTAGGCGCTATCACCTAATTGTGCAGAAATCTTCAAGAGCCATGGATTTGAAAGAAAAGGTGATCGACCAATGGCAGCAGGATCAACCGATGACAGCATGATCGACCAATAGCACAGAGCGAACAACCGATCTGACCATAGGGTTATCAGGTTACACCTCTATGTTCCGACACCTCTATGTTCCGACTGCACATATTCCTATTCCTAACCCTAACCCTAACCGGGAGTAACACAATCTAGGTTGTCGGAACATAGGGGTGTCGGAACATAGAGCAGTCACCGACCATAGCACAGATCCACTGATAGCGTTCAACATAGTCAACTTAATTCACAATTCGAAATACAATCCTGTCACAAGTTCAATTCATGCACAAGTTCAATTTATGCATTAATGGTCCCAATTCACACAATAACAGATTGTGAATAATGGCAAAGAAATGCCTTTGTCTTCAAATGTTTGACATTTGACTTGAGACTGGGTGACTTGTGATTGACTCATGTCTCATGAGGACTTAACTATACACTGTTTGGGTTTTTTTGGGGGGGGGGTGTTTACTGAGAATGTGGCCAGTTTTATCTGTTTCTTGTTTCCACTTCATGCATTATAGGTTTAGAAGAGAGTTACATACATGTACATGTTTTGTATGTATTCTGTACGCTATCTTCAGCATAGGTACAGATTACATACCCATTTTAATGGGTATGCAAGGGCGGATCCAGGGGGGCAAAAGGGGGCCATGGTCCCCCCCCCCCCAAAAAAAAAACGAAACCAATTTTTTTTTTTTTTTAAGGCTGGCAATGAGTACACCACCATCTTTTCCTCAAAAAAACATTGGTTAAAGTGGTCAGGAATTGCCTCAGATCGCACCACAGAGCATCTAGAATCCAAAAAATTTATACTTCAAAAAATTCAATTTAAATTTTGTGATTTGTTTTGGTTTTAATTATTTATTCTGTCGTCTGTTTCTTTGTTCAAAGGATGTTGGTTTATCAGCCAAACAGGGTAAAATACGGAATGCAGTCAACACAATCAGCAATGTCAAGCACACCCTGGGAAGAAGGTGAATACAGAAGTTGACTGAAGTTAACTCCACTTAACAAGTTCCCATGAAACTTCTTAAAATTCAGAACTTTCAGTTTCGGCCCTGTAAACCATCATCACGTTTGTGTAATGATGATATGGCATCATGACTTGTATACAATTATAGGAATTTGTTTGAACACCAATTTCCAACCTTTATGAGTCCTCCAGAATAAACCACTGTGCTGGAACCCCATATAACACACTATTTGTACTTTCAGTGGGCACTTTCAGTGGGCATCGTGTAGAATGCAAAGTATGAGTGCTCTGCCCGTACATGTTCCTTCCTAAATCCTGGTAAAAAACATCCTCGTTGTGGAAAGATTTCCATATACGAAGTTCACTCAACACCCTGTGTACAAACCCTATGAGATTGGACTGAAAAATTCTAAGTGTTTTCTAAGATAATGCTTGTATTTTCTCACTGCTCAAATTGACTTTGATGACATGAAATTACTATCTGGGGGCTTGTTAGTCAATAGAGAGGAAAATTAGTGAACTTCGTATATGGAAATCTTTCCCTGGTTTATGGTGACAGATTTGAATTACGTCCATGTATCAGAAATATCATGACAGGTTCATTTTCATTTTGATCTGTCTGCTCCTGTCTCACTAGAATTGAAGACGCCGTCGTGAAACAGAAGATTCGAGATGGCCCAACCAAGATCATTGACAAGAATGGCTACCCTTTGTATCAGGTGGATTACAAAGACAAGCAGACATACGTTACGCCGAAGACTGTTGCCACACTCGTCTTCAAAAAGTTAAAAGGTAAGCCTTGGCCCGATGTCTTTGGAGCAGAGTTATAATCGAATTGATTGCAAGTCATTGTACAAGTCTGGTCACAAAACGCAGATGTAAGCGCTGCAAGTGTACAACTCTGAAAACATGCATGCTTTCTAAATTTGTCAAAATCAATTGATCATTGATTCTGTTGATTCTAATTTGATTTGCAGGGATTGCATCCCATCAAGGAGGAAGCGGAGACAATAAGAACGTCGTTCTGACAGCGCCATTACAGTACACTGAACAACAGCGCAGTGCATTACGGTAAGAACAAAATCTATTCAGCCAAGACCCACAAGTACACGATGGTTAGTGTGATTGATTACAGCTGCTTTGCACCGAAATGGTAGCATCGAGCTGCATACTCCCCAGGGAGCTGAGATGGTATTTGGAATAATTAATTGGCCCAATGATCAGGGGTAATAATAACGTAAAGCACTTTGATCTTAGTTAAAAGCACTATATATAAGTTTCCATATGTATTATTTTGAATATTATTCATATAGGCCTAAGTAATCATTCAGTCACCTGTTGTAATCATTGTGATTTCCCGACTTCTTTGCAAGGAGTTTATGAAGATCTTTTGCCCGAGCTTTTATTAAGAAGGCAGCCTTCAACTGTTTAACCCCAAAAATGCAACAAAATAATTGACCCAATTATCAGTTAATCAAATAACCAAATAATCATAAGAGCCTTATTCAGAATGTATGCATTGTCTGAACCCTCCTACAATACAAACAGTTGTGAAACAATTGAAATTTAAGTAAAATGGTGTCATTTTGATACTTATTACAATACCATGTCTGCTTAGTGTACAGTGTGGCCTACTGGCTAGGGTTCGTGACTCATGATCAGAAAGTCAGCAGTTTGAATCCTCTGCTGGTCATATGTTGCGTCCTTGGGCAAGCCACTTTACCTCAACTTGCCTCTCGTCACCCAGGGGTATAAATGGGTACCGGCATTAGCTGAGGAGTAACCTGTGATGGACTGGCATCCAAACCCGGGGGAATGGAGTACCGAAGTGTGACGTCATTTAGAACCAGAAAGTGTAGTGCAAACGAATGGAGTACGCGTGCGTGTTGGTTCACAGGCTGAATCACGCCCTAATGTCTTTTACACACACATTGTGCGCGTGATGTATTCACTTCGGTATTCTATAGAAATACATGTTTTCTCATCCGTTTCGAGCCATGAAAACAAGAGATAATCGCCGGCCTGATGGGCCATATTGGCTCATGATAGGCCTCACTTACTTTACTTAGTGTAACAAAAAACCCATCCGAGATTTAACCCTGACAGGGCTAGGGTTATTCAAAGTATGATGTCACCTCCCTTCACTCAAGTTGTCGTCTCATTGTTAACTTGCTTCCTGTTGTCCTTGCAGAGAGGCAGCCATTGAGGCAGGGTTCAACATTCTTAGAATCATCAGTGAGCCGAGTGCAGCTGCCCTTGCTTACGGCGTGTGTGACACAAAGACTGCAGAGAAAAGGTACCCTTCTTGAAATGGCTGGTGAACTTTTTTTCAGAAGTCAGACTCTTAGAGTCTGATAGAAAGACATTCTCAGTATGGAAAGAAATGCATCAAATTTTCAGACCATTTTTAAATCTTCAGGATAATCTCATACTTACATGTATATTGATCTCCTTATTTTGTGAAACAGTTTCGTTGATCAAACTTGTCCAGAACAGTACATTATTGTTGACATTGAAAATGTTTACGAAAATGATGTAAATTCTATAATGTTTTCTGAAAACAGAATTCCATTTCAGAATGTGAAATTTTCTCAATTTTGTTACGTTTTATTCTTGTTATATTTCTGGTAATGAAACCAAGAGTTCCTCAAAAGTGCCCAAGTCACTGTAGCCTGAAGAACCTGTAGAGAGAAGATAATTAAGAAATAACATTTTTATAGGTGGGAGTAAATACCCAGTTGAATTTTTCCCACGGAATCAGGTAGAGACTGAAAACCCAATCAACATGTGGACCAGGGCAGGAATCAGACCCGGTCCCTGAAGGTGGAAGGCGAGGAAAGATACCACTGCACAACCTGACTCCCCCTACGGTGAGGTGGAAAATCAGTGGCCCAGTCACAAATATTTACGACTTTTTTTGCTCCGTGTTCCTGCAGCAATGTGCTTGTCTATCGATTGGGCGGCACCAGCCTGAGCGTGACTGTCCTGCAGGTCAGTAACGGCATGCTGCGTGTGATGGCATCTGAGACAGATCTCAGCTTGGGAGGGGACACCTTCACGTCACTGCTCGCCCAGAGCTGCGCCTCAGATTTCAATAGGTTCGTGTCTTTGTTTTTCTGTCACATTATTCAGGGCTTGCATGCTAAAGGGGAATCTACGGAATATCCCCTTGCACGGCAAGGGTCTGCGATATGTGAGCAGATTTGCAATTAATTATGCAAAACAAGACTGCGTCTTGACCTCAAGATTCTGACCATTCAGCGGGCGCCTTCTGTTGGGTTTTCAGTAACCCGTTGTTGTATTACAAAAACATGGCAGCCACATTGACCAATCAACAGCTTAGTCCACATTTCTGATTGAAATGCTGGCGCGAGGGGTTGCATAACATTTGCATTGCTCACACGTATCACACATTGGTTACGGAGAGGGCTCTGTTAGACAACAGGTGAAGCTCAGACTATGCTAAGGGTGGCTATACACTCCAAATCAACCAGACTAACTCCCTAGAAAGTTAGTGGTGGGAGCGTACTGCTCGACACCCTGGGAATAAGTTTGGAATCTGACGTCAATGAGAAACCCGTCCATTAAATTAATTATCAGGAGTCTTATTAAATGCTTGTTAACCTTTTTCCAGCCACAAACAACAGTACATCTTTACACAAAACTCTATTGTTGCTTTCTTGCCTAGACTTTGTAACCCTTTTCTCATAATTCTGTTAGTCTTTTCAGTAAACGGTGAAAGACAAATTTTGTTACGTTGATTTTCATTGCACCATCCCACTTGTTTTCAGGTGCTAGAAATTTAACCCTATATTGCACCCTTTAAACAGTTTTCTGAGACTTTTTTTTTTTAATTTCTCCGGTATCCAAAACAGGACATGGAAATGCAACCTATCAGAGAGTAGCCGAGCGATGAACAAGCTGCAGAGTGCATGTGAGGAAAGCAAACACGTCTTGTCTACGTTACCATCAGCCAAATGCTCCATTGATTCCCTGTATGAGGGCATTGACTACCACACTAACATATCAAGGTAGGATAACCACTTATAATATTGAACTCTGCCCTTTGCAGTTGTATTTTATTAGAACTGTATACTCAGGGCTGTCTAAAGACGTGCAAGAAAAACTTCATCGGGTGGGACTCGAACCCATGAGCGCCCGCTTGCTAGTGCAGACATCTTACCACTTGACCACCAAGCTTGCCTGGGTCGGCTGGCTGGCAGGTTCGAATCTGACATAGCAGCAGCTACCACTACCTATTTCTAATGTATTACACTAGATAACCTTGTGCAGAATAAAGTAGGAAAGATCAGCCCATCACCTTTTGTCATGTTTGTAGAAGAAAAAGCAGGAATGTATCTCTTTTGTATGAAAGTGATGAACGTATTCAGAAAATAATTCAACTTGTCTCAAGCAGATATTTTTTCCTATATTAAAACTTTTAATATACATGTGTGTTATTTGTTACAAGCCTGCGATTGAGTTTTCAATAGATAAATATTAGTAAATAGTTCATTAAGTAAACGGTGGACAGTAGACAATGTGTACCACATTTTAACTACAAAAAGCAGGACATGATATAAGGATGTCCCAGGTATAGGTAAGAAAGTTGAATACCCTGACATTGTACAAGGTTGTAAGAAATCTTTCAGAATATTGAAATGTGTAAGAAAAAAAAAAACGTTTTTCTTTTCAGAGTAAAGTTTGAGTCACTCATCAGCAACAAAGCCCAACAGAGCATAGAGCTCCTCAAGAGAGTCATCTCGGCAGCGCATATGGCACCAGAACATATAAACAAGGTATTGACAAACTTTAGGCAAATGCTCCTGGTAACATTTCCTGCATTCTCAAACGAGTACCGGTAGTTCTTTAGTCACAAAATTGACTTTATGGGTTGTTTTCTGCCACTCTGCTTTGTTTACTGCTAATTTCATTGCTCTGTTTGCTAGGCAATTCTGCACTGATGATCACCATTCTGTGTTGTCAAAGAAAATGTGTGCTAACCTTACATCACAGAATCCTTATTTACGGGATGTTTGATTAGTCACTGAAGAATAAATAATACCATAGAGTGTTTTGGGTGCTAAAGTGAGTTAAGGGTTGAATAAATTGTTTTGGCAGGTTTTGTTAGTTGGTGGTTCAACGCGCATCCCCAAGCTTCAGCAGATGATCCGAGATGTCCTGCCCAAGGCCCAGATGCTGGACTCCATCAGTCCTGATGAAGTCATTGCACTAGGAGCTGCTAAAGAGGTGGGCCAATGCATTCCGTTCAAGATCAGTAGATTGCGCTTCTCTTGATTTCATACACAACTACCCCCTCAATGGCTACATAGTTACAGTGTTGTAGGGCTTGAGGCGAGGACTCGGACTCGAGTCCGTCTCGAGTCACAATTTCTGTGACTCAGACGTGACTCGCATCTCATTTGCAAAAAACTCTGACTTGGACCCAGAATCGACTATCATGACTCAAGACTTTGATGCGAACGATTCATGACTCACGAGTCATACATTTCTTTTTACAAAATAGCACCTAAAAACATTGTTCAATGTATATTTTCCGAAAGTAATGTTAGAGCAAAGCTGAAGAACGTTAAGCACATGAATTGTACTGTTCAAGCGGTATTGCAAATAATTGTGTTTTTGCACCCCTCCCTATTTTCTGGGACAGTGTATCACTTACATATCACTTACATGTGTCAGTGCCCATGGACTCGTGACTTGTGACTTGGAGTCTCAGACTCGACCCACATGACTTGAGACTTGGACTTAGACTTGACCGAAGTGTACTCAGACTCGTACTTGAACCCTGTGACAGAAATTTCCTCCACATCTGTTGCCTGATTATTATCGAGATGACTACTTAGTTGGATTAGTAGAGAAACAAAACTGCTTTTAAACAGCTGTTCCATGATTAGAAATAAAAGGTGAATCAGTGTATTTGAATGTGTTTTGTATCCTACAGGCAGCTCTGCTAAGTAGTCGAGATGACAGTATACAACTGACTGAAGCAGACATCAATGCGAGCTGTTGCACTAAGGCCATAGCCCTCAAGGTAAACGCTGCTGAATTGAGAAACAGCAGTCCTGTCCTTACCGTAGGTTAAAGCCAGAGTCCATCATTTGCAGCTATCCAAAAAGTGACTGGCGTCATTATTGTTGAAAAACATACTTGGTTGAAAGATAGTAAGGGGACTAAACTCTCTGTGAAATTATTCTTTCTGGCAAACTGTCATTTTGAAGAAATCAACAAAAGAAGGCCTAAGAAGCACCGTAGAAAATTCAAATTAGTAGTTCATTTTTTTATTCGGCCAAGCGCGCGCAAGCATTGGCACGACGCACACGCGCGCGCGGTTGCCATAATTCATCGGATCAGTGAGAACGTGTCTCGGACGCTGGATTCATGCCCAATTCAAAACATGATTCAGCAACTTTTGATTTGAAATCGAGATCCTAGAATGATGTTTTTCTTTAAAAAAATGCAGCTGAAGCTAAGCTGAAACTTCATCAGATTGGTTGTTCAGCACCCTTCTTTAGATATTGAGCACTTTTGTTGCTTCAAACGAACAAAATGCACAAATTACAAATAATTGACTATACCTTTAAGGGGAAAGGTGCTGATCAGCTTGACAGATTCTTTACCAGGGAGGTAGCCAAACATATTTGAAGGGGTTGTGACAACAATTTTGCCAACAGACCCTCCAAACTGGAAGGTAGCCGAGATATTTTCCCAAGTCACCTAGCTGCTGCAAAATTGGAAGGTGGGGGGCGGGGGGTTGCTATTATGAATATTGGAGGCGCTGTGGAAAGTCGACGATCATGTACACTATCGGACAATAGGATGCATTTTTTGTTGCGGCATTATGCCGACTGACACAGGATTTTGCCGACAGGACAATGATTCAGCCGATAAAAACGATAAATGCAGTGTTGTGACACCCCCACACCCCCCTCTTGCAATGCCCATGATGTTTACCAAGACAGAATGAAAAACCTGAATCTGAGAAAATATTGTTACTTTTCTTAACCACGTACTTTTCAACTTTCTGAAAAAGTAGCTTTTCAAAACACTTTGTTCCTCCTGATAAATTAAAAGTACATGCAGCCCTTACCTAGAATAAGCAGGATATATAAGATTTTAAGTTACCATGTATTTTTGTGGCGTGGCCGGGCCATTGGATGGAAGAACAATTCAATGACATGTGATCAATGGCCCACCAATCAGATTTCAGGGATTTATTCAGGCATTGTATAAAGTACAGTGTAGTACGGGTGCTAATGAGTAACTCCTACTCCTCACTCAACAGGTCTTAGATCCGTCCGAAGAGGCCAACCTAGAAATTGTCATTCCCCAGTATTCGTACTTGCCAATACGTCGGCAGTACGACTTCAACGTCGGCAAAGACCAGACGTCGGTCTGTATTCAGATCTACGAGACACATGACGGCGCTTCCATTGAAGAGTCAACTCTACTGGCACAGGTAAGTGAACGCAAACTGAAATAACATTCAGGTTTTTTAAAGGAACCTTCCTTAACCTTCCTAGTGGGAAGTCAATATTCAGAGCAATATTTAAAAACCTGCAGGTAAGTTTCAGGTGAAGGGATATGAAGTAATTAGCCATCCTCAGGTCGACCTGCGATTCGCTTGTGTCGCGGCGAAACCGTCAGCATCAAGCACAGACGTCATTTTTCAGGTCACCAAATTGTGTGATTATTGTGGAACAAGCAGCATCTTGACACAGAATAACTGCAACCATGCTCATGTCACCCATGACGCGATGATGATTCCACGGCATAGACATGATCATGTGACTTCTTCAAAATGCGGTGCGCGTGTTAATAACAAGCAAACGATCTTTCACGGTTGATCTGTTCATTCGACTCTTTAATAAGATGATCTGGATCCGGATGCACGCGCATGATGTTGTCACTTCGCACAAGTCAACTGCTATTGATTCCCGCCTGTCCGGAACATGTTCCATGGCAGCACAGAAGTTGAAATTTGTCTACTTTTGCGACTGGACATTTTGAGCGCCGACTGATGCTGATCATCAAAATCATCACAGTTTGCACTCAGGTCGTACAAAATTGGCAACTGATAAAACATGTATATTTCTGACGGTCGTAACTCAGGCGCAGCTTCTTCTTTTTTCAAGATTATTTTTTAACCATTATTTTTCCCCGTCCAGATTGTAATTGATGGACTAGAGACAGAGTCAGAGGAAGAATTCCATGTGACATCAGTCTTCCATTACAGACGGTAAGGCCAACTTTTTGTTCATTTAAAATCCCATTTTCCCCTAAACGTTGATCGCTAGGATGATGCAATTTGTTATACTGGATTAGCCGTTCATCTTCTTGATGTTGTAAGCACTGTAAGTCCAGCTATAAGTCTAATTACCGTCCTATATGTTTGATCCCTGGATAGTGTGCAGTTTTTATACAGATTTTAATTAAAACATATTAGGAATGCATGAAAGGGTTTGGTGTTTTTACGTTTAATTATTATCCGATTCAAAATTTCATTGCAACCTAGAAACGGTCCTCAAAAACCCAACGCTAACAAGTTTTGTTTTGGCCTTGCAGCGTGCAGTGGGCTGAATCTGTCATAACTTTCAGTGTCAACACACTTGCATTCAGCAGCTATCTTTTTTCTTTTTCTTTTTTATCCATATGCATATCCCTGTGGAACAAAATTACACACCTCATAGATGGCTGCAAATGCAAAGGATCTATAGATACATTAAAAACGTTCATTTCATTGTAATTTGTGACCGGCTCCACAAAAAAGGGTATTATGTCGCGCTGAGCATTATTGTGTAATGGCCCGCTCAACATTGAGAGGGTGAAATGTTGATTTTCATGAACAAAGTGGACAAAAACAACCATTTTGTGTGCATCGTTCTGTTGTACTACAACAGAGCCAGCTATTTCAAAGCCTGTTTTCTCAGTTGTGTAATTTGAACTCCAAGGAAGTAATTAATATGCAAATACGTCATATCTCCAGAACGGGAGGGGCTATAGAGCTTTATTATATTACGAATGAAAGCTTACGTTTTGGGCTTTCCAACCATGTATATGACTCCATTTCACTTTTTTACAACATAATACCCTTTTTTGTGGAGCCGGTCACATTTTAAGTATATTCGTTTGTCTCTTGAATTAGAATTAGAAATGTTAAGTACAATACACAGATGCCAATTGTAATGTCTAAGGAACAAAAAACTGTTACGAAACCTTTCAGTTACAGTATTTTTTTCTCTCTTAAATGTCCACAGAGATGGCTCACTACATATCACCTGCTGTGAAGACGTAACAGGGAAAACAAAAGATGTCTTGATTGCAAGTAGCCAATCGGATGCTGTCTTAGATGACCAGAAGGATGCATGAACCAATCACACCACTTCTCTCATACCCGGTGCTTTATTCAAACTGTGTGATGTCAATATGTTAATCTTGAAAAAGTACATGTGTGAAACCTTTTTTTTTTCGTATTCTGTAAGATCTAAGTTAACTTTTGAAATTGCAACACTTCTGTCATATTTGTTAACAGATTTCTATTGTGAGGGAGGAACACACACAGGCCAGTTAACTGGTTCCCAATTTAACGTTGTAGTGGTCTATTTAAAAATGGGTACCAGTTCCCCGGTACAGAACTTTTTTTGTTGAGCGCCATTTTGTATGCCAGTTTTAAACGGTTGATCAAGACTGACTGGCTGGTCTTAAACACTTTTCCAGTGTCACATGAAAATTGAACTCCTAGAAATCCGGTGCCTTTTACTGATTCATTGGTTGAACGTTCTCAATCATAACGTAGGCCTGAGCAATACAACAGTATTTCATAGTCCAAAATTCTCACTACACCGGCACAGCTGCGTTCTGCGCCACATCGCGCAGTTCATGCGACGTGCGTGCCAATCTCCATATAAGGTAAGGAGTTGTGGAGGACATACCATAATATAGAAAGAGGGGTGTTTCGAAAAACATGAAGTACAGTCGTTGAACAAGTCGTTTGAAAATTTATATTTTGACTTGTTTTGACCTTTGGACTGAACATTTTGATTATTTGAGCAAAAAGGTTTTTATGAACGGGAATAAATATGTGCTTGGCCGGTATTAAACGAAGTTTTTAAAACTGGCCAAGCACACATTTATTCTCTTATTAACAACCACAGTGTTTAGGAAGCATGTTTATGGAGTCTTTGGTAGCGTTTGTTGGTTATTTTGTATTTTCAACAATTCAGTGGTATTTCGGAAACATTAATGATATGTTTTATTTTTGCAATGAAGGGTCTACAGAGTTGCATTCTCATGCTTAAAAAGACTTTTCATTTCTTGCGCACAAGTCCATACCTCATACAGATTTTTTTTGTATGCACTCAAAATAACATTAAGCACATTGATCAGGGGTACAAATGTAGTTATATTTTGTGTAGGGCTCTGTTATTAGAAGTAAATATGTTTTGTTGTAGTCTTTGTGTCATCCAGACAGTATTGTGTACCTGATGCATGTCCTCCATTAGGAGCTTTGGGTACCAATCTAATGTACAGTCAACTGTCATAAATACAAACTCTTGAGCCGGACCTAGCCAAAGTGTTTGTTATATCAGGATTTTGTATTAAGAGGAATGTCGATCCCATTCATTGTTCACATGTTTATAAAGCACAGTTGGGACCAAAGGCTTAAGGCCAAAAAAAAAGTCTCCGGTTTCTGGTATGGAGCTTGCCCAAAAAGTGGTGCGGCGACGCGGCTTTTTTTTTTTTTTACCTGATTTTTTTGCTTCAAATGTCGGCTGATGACTGCAAATGGTGCCCGACTAAACTTAGTGCAAATATATGGGAGTCCAGAGAGGCCACATAAAGCTTATTCTCGACCATAACCCAATCCTAAAACACGTTAAAATTGTGCAGCAGCAGGATTCCAGTCAAACCAGTGAGTTTGGCGGTTTTGAGACATCATCTTTCATTGAAAAAAAAACTTTTTCATTTTGCCGACGAGCATGGCTACGGCAACGCGCGCGCATACCAGAAACCGGAGACTTTTTTGGGGGCCTAATGCTTGTTATAACCAGAATCTGAATTAACCCCAACTCCCTAGCATGATTTACTAGGAACCATACCCATCCTGGCAAAATCCAACACCATATAATGGGAAACTGCACACACATATTTCTGACTATGAATCTGGAGGTGTGCCAACCCAATGTAAAAGACTGTCAGTTTAGGGGTACTGTACCCATCCTGACAGATTCCAACAAAACATGCTGTTGGGGTTTGATGGGTTGAGTTCTGTTTGGGTTAATTAAGGAGAGTCGACTGTACAATGTACTTACTATTGCACTTAAAAGGGTCACATCTTACAACTGACAAACAGTGTAAAGCCTAGTTTCAATATCGACGTTAAAGGGAATATACATCATTTGCTTTTGCTGTAATTTTCAGAAATGGATGGAATTGGGGGGTTGGAAATATATATCAAATATAGTTACACTGACTTTTTTGAGGTTTTGGGTTCAAAAATGCTATAAAAACCAAGAAAAACAATCATTTTCCTGTAGTCTGGTTCCCTGACTCCATTTAAGAAGAAACAGAGCAGTTTACATACATTGGGGAATTGTAAGGTCAGGGAACCAGTCTAGCTGGCTTGTACCCGTTCATAGGTGTGTAATCGATTGCAAACAAGTGCGATGGTCAATTGGGGGCAGTATTTGAAAAAAAAACAGTTTTTTATAACGCTGATCGGCCGATCAGCGTTGGAAATTGATACAAAAATACCACTTTTCTTGAAAATGACAGTATACCAGGTGCCATGATTTTACAGGATGCTTTACACTGTCATTCACTAACAGTCCAGCAAGGTATTTCAAAATGATTTGGTAGTTTTATTTTTTGATGTTTGCAAATGTTGTATTTTCCTTTAAGCTAATGCAGACTGTACATGTGCAGACACTGCGCGGAACCGTCGTGCCGTTCGTCTGCGAGATAGGTTGCATCTGTCTGGGTTGTCGTGACATTTTGCGGACGAAATGTTTCCATAATGCATGTAATGTCTGCTTGTAGTTTTGGGTCTTGTTTGCGTTGCTCTCTGCGTCTCTTACCTCGATATGGAAACTAGGCTTTACATTTTGATGTGGTTGTTTTATTTTGGGGCCGAGTGACATGAGGCTTAAATGTTGGAGGGAAAGAGAGCATTATGCTGTGTCACTTTTTTTTTTACCATTGTGTAACCATAAGAACAATTCAGCTGTCTCAAAGAGAAAGTATTTGTAACTGTGAAATGTCAAGGTTTTTTTGACAATACTGTTGGATGGAAGGACAGTGGTGTCAACACATTGCTTTCAAGTAAGAGAGAGTTGGTATTGTAAAAAGGAAATGGTTTGGCGGAAAAAATTAAAAGAACAGGGAAAACCTGAAAATCTTCCTGGAATTCGGCTGTGCATGAACTGTTTATTTTGTCATTGGCTGCTCATTCTCGGGACTAATAGTGACGATGTCAAAAAAAGTCATAACCAAAAAGTAATCCCACGTTTCGTATCAAAATAAATGAATTTGATAACAACATTAGTCATCAAATCAAATTACAAGCAATTTAAGGTCACAATTTTAACACAATACTTTGAACTATTTCTTTTGAATGATGATGACGTCATCAGACCGAAAACTATTGTTGGGAGTTTGGAAATGATCCTTTTTTTTTTTGTCATGCAAATCCACCATTGTGTTACTATTTGGGCTCATTGTTGCCAAAAAAGGTTCGACGTCATCAAAACGGACGTCTGGTGTCATTGATACGTACGCATTTACGTTCGTGTTATTTTTATATTTTCAGAAGTTCTTTTCACTTTATCTAGCATAACCAGTGTACACAACATCATTATTCATTGACATCAAACCGGAAGTAACGTGCAAATAATGTGTTTTGAAATCTATCGATCCTGAAGGATGCATTTCTTCAAAGTCATAAATGCATGGTTAAACCGAAAAAAAATGTTTGAACTTCACACTGCAAGATCGTCTTCCGCTTTAGCGCCCTGCATCGTGCGTTGCCGGCCAGTGGGACAACATCCCAGAACCCTCGGATTTTCTGAAGGCTGTGAGAAGGAGCAAATGCTGCGGTCGGAGCAATCCTGTGTGAAACGTGGTGAACATAGAAGTCTGAGTCTGTACAGAAATGTCTCAGATACGGCACACTTTTAAGAAGTTCCTTAGTGTGTATGAGCGCCATTAAAGGATTGCTCGAACAGCCAATCAACCTTAGCAGACAGATTTCATATAAAACGCCTATAGATGTAATGCATGTAGTATTAGACAGTAATACACTACAAGCATAATTAAAGTACAGTAACAGAGCGAACCGTTGGGCAGATAATACTTCTTTACATGCATGTATTGGGTTTTTGCTTCTTTTTTTGACGGGGGGGGGGCGGTTGCTATAACTGCCAAGTAACCTACGTTTTTAAATTCTCGAATCACTATTAACATCTCTTGTGAAAATAATTTGATTACTGGGTCGATTTGTGGCGTTCTCGAGAAAGCTATTTACGGTAAACTTGTTATAAGAGAATATAGCATCCTGAAAACATTCATTTTTTTGTTCAGTCTCAAGTATTTTCCCATCAAATGATTTCACTTCAATTGTTGAATGGCACACCGGGCATCGTCCAGAAGCAAATAGTCGACAGTTTGAACTAATTGAAATTGTCAAAAGCAAGTTGTATGTATTGCACACAAAAATTACATATGTCGACAATATACTTGTAACAAATTACAGAATTTAATAAATCATTGGTGTAATCACGGGACACAAACGCGCGGGTTCTGCACGCACGGGTATGGCGGGTGCATAGGGTTAACGTATTCGTATACGTACGTGTGCCGTTTTCAGTTCCTCCTGCTGATTTAAAAAAAACCTACAGCCTACAGTTAGCTCACCAATGGTAGGCAAACTATATCATGACCTAACAACAGCTGTTACTGGTATTGGAAATGCTGTAAAAAAAAAATCTAACTAAATCCTGTCTCTGGGAGATACAGAGACAGTGGGTAAACGGCATCATCCTCCCCAAGAATTAAAAAAACAAAAGGCGGGCGGGTTTAGCTGCTGGCGCTTTCATTTCCAAAAAAGGTAAAATTATTATTCGCTATGGGGCATTACCCCGGATACGTCACGTCAGCATATCAAATCGTCAGACTGAAGGAAACTCTTATTTTCTGAACATTTCAAGTTCGATGAACTAAAACCGGAAGTTAAACGTCAATTAAACACATTTCAGGATGTATCAGCATACCGTACCAATAGCATTTTGATGCTTTTTTTTATTTCAGTAAACTCCTGGGGGGAAAATGTATTATGGGCGTCAACATCTGAGGGGTTTTTTTTAAAGGAAACTA